TGATAATTTGCATAAATGAGATTCTCTTCAGAACATAATTTTTGAAGTAAATGTATTAAATATACTCTATACAACATTCCAAAAAATGTTCAGTATAAAAAAAGAAAAAGTTGATAGAAAGTAAGCAGAAATATGATAGGGATGAAGATAAAGACAGAGACAAACATAAACATAAATAATTTAAAGTAAGCAGAAATATGATAGGGATGAAGATGAAGACAGAGACAAACATAAACATAAATAATTTAAAGTAAGCAGAAATATGATAGGGATGAAGATAAAGACAGAGACAATTACAAACATAAACATAAATAATATAAAGTAAGCAGAAATATGATTGGAATAAAGATAAAGACAGAGACAATCACAAACAAACATAAATAATATAAAGTAAGCAGAAATATGATAGGAATAAAGATAAAGACAGAGACAATCACAAACAAACATAAATAATATAAAGTAAGCAGAAATATGATAGGAATAAAGATAAAGACAGAGACAATCACAAACATAAACATAAATAATATAAAGTAAGCAGAAATATGATAGGGATGAAGATGACAGACACAATCACAAACAAACATAAATAATATAAACTCAGATTACACACAATATGGAACAATAAGCAAAAGAAACATCATCTGGCAATTAGCATACCTTCACAAGACAGTGAGAATATGCAGTAATGTTAAATTCATATGAGGATACTTTAAATATAAATCTTAGAAGTTTGATAAAATTTACAATAAATATGCAACTGTTTTGTAACATGTTAATTCTGTCATTTAGGATGTCAAGAGTATTAAGCACATGATATCATAGTGCAGATAAATATGGTGACATCATAATAATAGTTTAAACATGGCTACACCACTTTTCACTTGCACCAAAGAGAAGCAGCATGCTGTTATTCATTTTTTGACCAGTAAAGAATTGAAAACTATTAAAATTCATTGCCGAATAAAGATCCCGTATGGTCATGCATGCCTGTCGGTTCATCAAGTGTGTGAGTGAAGAAAGAAGTTTTGAAATGTCCTGACTTCTGCGAAAGACAGTTCACGACCAGGTCAGACACACCGAGCAGTGACCGCAGTTAATTACTGCAGCATCTTGACGTCAGTCAAGGTTCAGCACGCTACATCATCATTGATTTGCAACAGTACCGCACAAAGTGTCTGCAAGGTGAATGCATGACAAAAGTGGAGTGGCCATTTTCAAACTGTTATTATGATGTCACTGTGTTCGTCTGCAACCTAACGTCAAGTGCTTAACGCTCTTGATGTCCTCAATAAAAATTATGACAGTCATTATCCTCCGCCTCAGAACAGGGCATAACCGATTACGTAACCACATGTACACAAAATTCAAGATAGGTGTATCAGCCATGTGCACCTGTGGAAATGTGCCCCAGACAGCAGAGCATGTACTCCACGACTGCACCGAATTTGACACATTACGGCAAACCTATTGGCCAGAAAGAACAACAGCGGAACGTAAACTCTAAGAACCACTGAATGAAGTAACAACAACAGTGAAATTAATTCAAGAGACAAAATTGCTGATATAGACAACTTATTTCAGGCAAACGAAAGAAGAAGAAGATGACAGGTTACAATACAATGGCATGGTTACTGTATTTTTGATTACTTTCAAGGTTTTCATTTAAAGTTCCATCATATACTGGCTGGCCATATGGTTAGAAAGCTGGGCTCTCATGCAGGTTCAAATCCTTTGTGAAGTGATGATTTTGTTTGTTATGGAATAAACAGCATCCTACCCTGCACAAGCCATGTTGCCTTAAATCATCAGGCTCAGGATCCTATCCTTCTTCTTCTCCTTCTCTTCCACCTTGTACCTCATCAAAGTGTCGGAGGGAGATGTAACGTACATTGATGAGCTCTGTCAAGAGCACTATTAAGACTGATGTTCATTTCTGTAAGGCTGTTCTTAATGTCATCACTCCATATTTCCGAGGTCTTCCACTCACTCTATACCCGTTGTAACGTTTCAGTGTGGCTCGCTGTGGCAGATAGTACCAGGGCATTCTTATGTGTGCAAACCACTTCATTTGTTGTTCTTTGATGACCTGTAAGACTGGCTTTATTCCTAGCATTCGTCTGATTTCATGATTTCATATTCTGTCTTTCCTTGAAACTCCCGCAGCTCTTCTAAGGCGTTTCATCTCTGTTGTCACAATTTTACATTCATTGGAGGATTCCTATCCACCACAGCTCTAAAAATGTACTTTTTACAGGCAAGCAGTTGGGACAGTATTTTGGGGGGAATTAATATACAGACAAGCGGCGTCCGTGGCTTAGGCTTTGCGAGTCCGACTTGTAATCCAACATAACGCGATCGAAACCCACTGCTGTATGGATTTGTATCATGGTATGGGGGCGTTGCAGGTCGACGCAGCCAAAAATGGGTACCAGTATGGCTGTCCTGGGGAAGTAAAGATGGCTGGTGTAATGCTGACCACATTACCCAACCAGTGCTGATTGGTTTGTAAAAACATGGGACGCTCTTCCCATATGCTCTATGCACCTAAGGCCTGAAAAAAGATCTTTACTTGTTTTTTTATTTTCTTTTTTTATATACAGACATAAAATGGATGGGATTTAGTTTAACACCTTAGGCCTTTTCTGTCGCTGTTCATTTTAAGGTTTCTTCTCGAAGCCCTCACTTCCTCACTCCTTTTATTTCACATTTTAGTGCCTGCTTGGTGACTCTGTAGACCAGCAGTTCTCAACTTGTGGGTCACGATCCACAATGAAAATAACTGTATGGTTGGGGGTCACCACAACACGAGGAACTGTATTCAAGGGTTGAGAGCCAGTGCTTTAGACGTTTCTTCTCTGGATGTGCCCAACACAAAGCCACCTTGTTTATAAATGTAGTTATTAGACGCTATTCATGAATTTTTTTCTTGAATTCACCTTATTTTTATATTCAACATTTTTTCAGGCATTTAACTCTTTGAGTCCCAGGGGGTTTAGCATCACAGGCCAATAGGTAGTAAAGAGAGACTAAAATCGACACATCATGTGTTCATTGGGCTTCCACGTAGGAACCTATGAACGTGTGATGTGTTCCCTGGGACTCAAAGAGTTAAGGAATGAGGAACAGTCTGTCAGTCCTAAATGTTGCTATCTAGCCATATTTTTTCTTTCAACCAATCAGCAGTCAATGAGTGATATTTTTCAATATGCTGCCCATATTTTTCAATACGCTGCCCACCATCTTTGCTTCCCATGAAATGTTTGTGGGTGCCTACTTTCAACAGGGTTGATCCACCTTGACGAGGCTTCAAAAACATGATCAGTATGGCAGGCTTGTGGCTCTCTTGTCTTCAGCAGATATCCATAAATACTTGTTTTATTAAGGAGAATTTAGCTGCATTAACCGATCTGCCTCTTTGTTGAAGCTTGCAACGAAATCTGGATCAAGTACTTGCAGTTTCAGTAAAAATGTGTTACGTTCGGAATCCGTCCACAGAGAAAACCAGTCTGAAAACAGCTTTATCTGGCACTGAAATATGCTTGGAGGTTTATCCTTAACCCCCATTGATTTCATGGAGTCAAATAAGGTGTCTATATTGTTTGGAACCAGTCTGTAAAATATAAAAAGAAAATCAACAAACTTTTAACCTAAAATTAAAATATTTTTAAAATTATTGAAGATTTTTTTTTTTTTTTTTTTTTTTGCTTTCTATCGCCCAGTGAAGCATAGGATTTCAACCAACTCATGCCAAGTCATTCTATCCTTTATATTGAGTGCAGCTCTCCCCACGTCCTCCCATCTCATTAAACTCCACTCTCTAGTTCTTTTCTCCGTGTGTTATTTGGTCTTCCTCGATTTCTATGCCCTTGTGGGTTCCAGTGCAAAGACATTCTAGTTATATTGTTCTCAGGTTTTCTCAACATGTGCCCTTTCCATCGCCAGCATCTTTTCTACAACTCTTGGCCTACTAGAACTTGTTTAGTTCTCTCCCAAAGCTCTACATTAGTGATTCTACCATTGAATTCCCTCTATTTTGTACATGCACTGGTTAATGAATGTTTGTCGTTTATTAGTTATCTGTTCTCCATGTTTCCGCTCCATACAAAAGTACTGATTTGACGTCAGAATTAAATATTTGAAGTTTAGTATTTGTTTTAATTTCTTTGACCTCCAACAATTTCGTAGTGCTCTGAAAGCTTCTCTTGTATTTAAAATCTCTTTCAGTTCCCCTTCTCTTTATTACTGCCCTAATAGGTAGGAGTACAACTTCACATCTTGGAATTGGATACCATTAAGAGAAATTATATTACTATTTGCCTGATTTAACCTCATTATCTTTGTCTTTCCCTTATGGATTTTTAGACCTAGCTGTGGTGATCTTGCATCAAGTACATTTAATTTATCTTGCAAGTGATTTCGAAAGTTAGTAAAATAAAGCAATAAATAAGATAGTAAATTAGTTAAATAGTTAACTGACTAATCATCCTTATGGCACATCAGTCGATAACACCAGTTCTGTGTTGGTTGACTGCTCTTCTTTGGCTACCTGTATAGTGTTTGTGTCTGGCAATGTGCCTTCTGACATGAAGTTTTTCTAAACAAGATGGTAAAGTTTCTTTAACCCCAAAGGTAGAAGAGAAAATACAAAACAAGGTTGTAAGGTACCTTCTTCCCTCAGTTTAGCAGGATGGACTCATAAATAAAGTAATTATACTCACTTATCAAGCAGGTCTTTCTGAAAATCCTGCTTTTGTAGGACGCTCCACCCAGAAAACCAATGAGTGACGCACTGCATCTCTCGCTCCACATTGTTCAATGACATGGTGCTGGGGTGTAAGAGAATGTCACATGACAAAAAAGTACTATAAAAGGAAAAAATAATAAGGCAATTATGGAGAAGTCATAAGTCCTCCCCACTGTGTTAGCCGATAAATTAAATGGTAGATAAGCTCATGAAAACTGCAGGGAACTTCCCAAAGCCCCTCCCACATCAGAGCTTTACAGATGCAAAGAAACTTACAAAGCAGTCTGTGAAAATAAAGTGGAGATAACAAAAAATAACAGACCAGAGCCTGACAGTTTAAATACATTTGCAGAAATTAGGAGACTAGAGTTTTGAGATCCAAAATGGGACATCATAAACTCAGACTGAACAAGACTTTTCTGCAGCCGTTCTCTTGCTCTTGTAGATGATCTTCTGAGATGTAGTGCTTGTTGCTTGTGATGGTATTTGATCTTGCTGCATTCTAACGAGATGGCCAAACCATTTGATCTGCTCTATGAATATGGTACAAGATGTCGTTCCCACAATTTGTCTGATAGTATCATTATTCACTCGATCTCGTATGGTTAGGTTGGCTGCTTTTCTCAGGCATCTCATCTCGCAGGTGGTGCTTTTGCGTATACAGGTTTTTGATAGGGTCCATGTTTGGCACTGGTAGCTCAATGTTGGAATGAATATACTGTTTATAATCTGTCTCTTTGCACTCATAGTTATGCTTGGACACAGATGTAAGTTCTGATTAGTGGATTTACTGCAATCTGTTTAGCAAAATAACTTAATAAACTAATTGGTATCTGTGGTTTGCGTGACAAGTAAAAAGAAATGATCCTTTTGCATGCCTTAAGCTGCTTGTGCATATTGGGCTGGAACTATATTTTATGGACTAATTGGCACTTGGTGGGCAATGTGGTCAACATCATGCAGGCTTCCTTTACTTCCCAGGAATTCTATGGCACCCACTCAAGGCTGCGTCGACTTGGGAGCCAACAATATTTTTGGGTGAAAAAACAGATCCGCAGACATGGTCTAGCTGCTACAAAATGACAATCAATGATAACTAATTTGGTTCAAGTTCACTGTTGACTACTTACTTAGGGTTTATGTTTATGTGAAGTCTTTTTTTTTCCCCCCTTGATGATGATGATGTTCGAATTGTTCGCATTAACTTTTTTTTTTAAACAACTTTTAGGGTGGTGTGAGGTTTGGGAGTCTTGGGCGTGAGTATGTGTTCGCCATGAAATATGCAGAGACTTTATGTTTGCCTTCGACAGACATAAATTAAATATCTTAACATAGTAGTAAGTAGTAATTAGTATTCGGATATGAACCTAGAGATTCCCGACAGCGACAGACAGCCAGGCGCCCTCATTTAATCGTTAACTGCTACTTTAAAAAAAAAAAATAGTTAATTAAAAAACTGCAGTATGTCATGCCAATCCTCAATTTAAATAACCTAAATTTGTAAATAAATGTATAAAATATTATTAACAATACCATGCCATATATACAACAGCGGGCTCCAGACATCAATTCTTTCACAGATTCCAGTTTCTGGGCATGAGTTATTAGAGTTACCTACCCTTCACCGGTGCCGACTAAAGAGAACATTAAATAGTGTCCAATCATTTCTCGTCCTCCTTCTTATTCTTCTTCCCTTTCTTCTTCTTCGTCTCCTTCTCGTCCTCTTTCTTCTCCTCCTCCTTCTACTTCGTCTCCTTTTCCTTGTTCTTCCCCGTCTCCTCCTCCTCCTTCTTCTCCCTCTTATTCTTCTTCCCTTTCTTCTTCTTCGTCTCCTTCTCGTCCTCTTTCTTCTCCTCCTCCTTCTACTTCGTCTCCTTCTCCTTGTTCTTCCCCGTCTCCTCCTCCTTCTTCTCCCTCTTATTCTTCTTCCCTTTCTTCTTCTTCGTCTCCTTCTCGTCCTCTTTCTTCTCCTCTTCCTTCTACTTCGTCTCCTTCTCCTTGTTCTTCCCCGTCTCCTCCTCCTTCTTCTCCCTCTTATTCTTCTTCCCTTTCTTCTTCTTCGTCTCCTTCTCGTCCTCTTTCTTCTCCTCCTCCTTCTACTTCGTCTCCTTCTCCTTGTTCTTCCCCGTCTCCTCCTCCTTCTTCTTCTTTTTCATATTCATCTTTCCTCTTTTTCTTCTTTACCTCCTCCTCAAGCAAACAGGGCACAGAGCAGACAGATCATTCATATCTAGACGCAATGAATGTTGAATCAAGAATCGACATCACAGCTCTCAGGACACCCCCATAAGCTCTCCGCCCCTATCTTCAGCAGCAAACGAAGAGTTCTAGTTCAGATGGTACCAATAACTTTCTTATTGTATATCCGTCTCGCCCTTTTCTTGTGTGTTGAGCGTTGGCCAGATCCCCTGTTAATTACATTATCCTCAGACCGTAATAATGTATTTGCGCTTCCGCACTGTTCACTCGCTCCCAGAGGGCCCTCACAACGTCTAGCTTGTCATAACATCACCTCACCACTAAGTGGTGCAGAACCGGCCAGTCTATCTGCTTGCTCATTTCCCAACACACCGGCATGACATAGAGAGAATATCCAAAGGATACTAACTACCTATGGCTCCTGAAGTGATGCCTGCCACTCTGCACTGAGCAATCCTGTATGTACCTTTCTCAACATGCTCTGTGAGTCAGTGATAATCATGGCATGTATGTACAAATCATTCTAAAGCCAGCGGAAGGTAGCAGTGACTGCCTCCACCTCCATTCTCAAACTAGACGTTGTGATAAAGGACGCAATGATTCCTCTGGAAGTTAGCAGAGCGTCTTGACGACATTACCACCACTATTACTGCTAATGCTACTACAAACACTACTACAACTACTACGTTGCTGCTGCTGTTACTAATACTGCTGCTGCTGCTGCTACTATTACAACCACTGCTACTACACCCACTGCTGTTACTGTGAATACCCAACTGATGCTCCAGCTACGACCACTACTGCTACTGCTACTTTAGTTCAATGGGCATGCAAAGTCCTTCTCCGCGGACAGCAAGTAAATGTGCCCTCTTTACATGGCAAGATTAGGACCACTTAGTAAAGGGACCTTTTCCACTTCTTCAGGAGTATTGAGCGTACAGTCCTAGTCCTTTTGAGAGAAAAAAAAATAAGCTCGGCCACGTTCTGGCTGCTGCTAGCTAGCCTAGGCTGCTAGCAGTCTCCGCCTATATTTGTGGTCTGGGTTATTTTCATCACTTTCGTGACTGAATTTTAGTGTTTGTGTCATTTCTGGGCTTGACGCTTCCATCCGAATCAGACCGCTCGTCCGCCACCCTGTTGTTACTTGTGCATGTCTTCCCTCGTCTTACTTAGTGTTTCCAGTTTGCGTTGTTTCCCTTTGATTTGGCCAGGCGTATTTCGTAAGAGGTGGGGGGGGGGGGGAGAGGATTTTCCACACAACGTCCTTTGGACCACCATTTACAGTTTTTGAGCATACAGGGCTAAACCTATATTTTATAGACCAATCGCCACTAGGTGGACGATGTGCTCAGCATCACGCTGACCACCTTTATTTCCCAGGACTTTGCCCGGCACCTATTTAAGACCAGGTCGACCTGCGAGCTAAAGGTCTTTTTTTCCCTTTAAAGTCGGAGGGCTGCGTGGTCTCGAGGCATGTTGTCAGCCTCAAGTGCTAGAGGTTCCCGGTTCAATCCCGGTAAGGGCTGGGATCTTTTCACGTGGATTTGGACTTTTAGTAATTCTCCCTGGTCTCTGGGTAAAGAGATGGGACGCCCGTATGAACTGTTGCGCACGGAGTTAAAAATCTACACAAGGTATTTCGGGATTCTCGCCTGTGCACTGTGCTGAGCTTCTTCCGACTCACACATATGGGTTACTACCCGTGTGCCATGATGTTGATCTGTTGTTTAGACTTCGCAAAGTCCGGCTCAGTCAGGACATGAACCTACAATCTTCAATACATCACGGCGGCTCCAAGAAGGGCCATTTAGCCCCTTTAAAGGTTATAAAGGAAAAGACATTCAGCCTAGATTCCCCCCCCCCCCCAAACACAATTGACCCCATCCCCCACCCCCGAAAAAAAAAACAATTGACGTAATACATGTGTCACATTTTTACAGTTTTTTTTTTTTTTTTAAATCTATAAAAAAATATATCGTGTGTCGCCGAGTTACTGTTACCTGTGTTTAATAACTTATTCCTATTTTTGGAGTTGTTTTTGTATCTGTGATCCGTCCAATCATCACCTCGCTTTGTCAGAAGATGCAGTGAGATTTCAAATATGCATCCAAGGGCCGCCTCTTGGAGACGGGGGGGGGGGGGGGGGGGGGGGGGGTCCTCAGTCTGCAAAGATTTTAAAGGTTTAGGGGCCTGAATTGCTTTTTAAACCGGTGGTGGGTGGGGGGGGGGAAGCATCAATCACCGTTTAAGTGTGCAATAATTAGAGTAGTAATAGTTTCTTATTATGAGCAAAATGACTGCATTATTACTAGATGACCAAATCGTTTGATCTTTTGTTTCTCGGTGAATTTTCTGTATGGTGTTGTTCCACGGATGGTTAGGTTGGGGGCTTTTCTCAAACATCTCATTTCACAGGTGTTCATTCTTCATAGGTTAGCCTTTGATAACGTCCAAGTCTGGCGCTGTTAGCACAGTGTTGGTATGAATGTGCTGTTTATATTCTGTTTCTTGGCGCTAGAACTTATGTTTATGTGTCTTTATAACTGTGTTTTCGTCTTTGCCTCCTGTCCCCCAATGGTGCATAGGCCCTTAACCAACTCACACCAAGTAGTTCCTTTCTTCCCCAGAGAATACAGCTCCTCCTCACATTTTTAACTTCACTCTCTAGATTCCCTCTTCATGTTTTTTGTTTGTGTGTCTTCCTATATTTATATGCTCTTGTGGGTTCCAGTGCAAATACATTCTAGTTATACTGTTCTCAGGTTTTCTCAATTTGAGTCCTATCCAACGCCAGCGTCTTTTCCTCACCTCTTAGTCCACTGGTACTTGTTTAGTTTTCTCCTTAAGCTCAACATTAGCGATTCTATACCATTGAATTCATTATATTCGATGCAGGCACAGTTAATTAATTTTTTGCAGTTTATTTTAACTGTCTTAGTTGTTCTCTGTGTTTGGCTCCATACAACAGTACTGATTTGACATTAAAATAAAAAATTTAAATTTCAGCATTCGTTTTAATTTCTTCTGACCTCCACAAATGTCCTAGTGCTATGAAAACTCCTCTTGCTTTTTGTATTCGTATTTTAATATCTCTACCAGTTTCCCCATCATTATCCACATTACTGCCCAGACAGGTGTACCACTCCACGTCTTGGACTTGATTACCATTAAGAGAAAGAAACCGCATTACTATTGCCTGTTTTAAACTCATTATCTTTGTCTTGCGGATTTTTTGACATAGCTGTTGTGATCTCACAAGTACATTTAATTTATCTTGCATCTGATTTTATGAGTGAATAACGGTGTCAGTGCGTATATAAGTGCACAGTCTCGTTTGCCTCTTGTTTCTATATCCCGAACTTTACACCTGTCCTCCGAGAATATACTTTCTAGATATTTAAATTGTTTAACTTGCTTCAGATGTACCATTCAACCTTCAACCCTCTATGTAGCGGACTTCTGTGATCAAAAGAAATCTTTGGTTCAGTGATCAAGCTGAATAGTTCTCAAAAGACAGCATCTTTTGGTGTGGGGTTCACTTGTTCATGTCTCATATCTGTTTTCATTATGGCCTGGAGAGAATGAGGCACCTGGCTGTAACCAGAGGGTCTGGCCAGCTCACTACACTCAGTCAGAGGAAAGGGAAGACGGACATATAACCAGATTTTGACCCATACCATTAGTATTGGAACTCTGTGCTGGCTGCTGAAGATGAGGATGGAGCACTCTTGGGAATACCCTGAGTGCTGTGATGTCAATTCTTGACTCAGCTCAAATCTGTTTTCAGCTGAACACATTCAATTTATACAAAACCTTAGTTGCCTTTTATAAAATGAGTGCCCCCCCCCCCCCCCCCCCCCCCCCCCCCCCCCCCCCCCCGAATAGGTCGCAGGAACCGACATTGGAAGTTTACACCTCATAAAAAGCTTCTTCTTTTCAACTGCCCCAAATTTGAAGATCTTTTTTTAAAATCGAGTGATGACCGGCAGAGAGATATTTTTCTTTGTGAATGAATCTTTTTGGCACCAAATTAGCAGTTTTAGTTGTTTAAAATTGTACCCATTTTTGTTTTCCCATCTGTATAGTTGGTGTGGACCATTGCTGCTATAGTAATTATGTGTCGTAAAGTACCTTGTAGTTTTACAAAGTCAAAGGGATCGTCACAGTTACGATGGTTTGGACATGTATGTAGAAAGGGAGAGAATCGGCCACTACAGCAGACATGGGAGGCCAAGAACCAGATAACCCAGTTTTCCCTTGAAAACAACATCTGACAGTCCAAGGACTGGAATAAATTCAGAAAGAAAACTGCAGATAAAGAAGTCTGGTGATCTCTCTGGCAAATATCCACACCACAAGGTAAAAGAGGATAAACAAATTTTATTTTCAAAGGGTCACAAATTCAGCATGCAGGCTCGTCCTTACATTTAGGGCTGCCAAACACTCACCTCTCACACAGCAACTGTTTATAAATAAAGCATGTTATGTTAATATAACAATATGCATAATAAGAATATCAAAGGAAAAACCCAAAAGCATGGATGTACCTTGCTTCAGCTGTACAACAATGTACTGACATTTTTATTTAATGAAATTAAGAACAACTGACACATTTAAATGTGAAAAATTTGGGGAGTGGGGGTACAGGCACGCAGCTTTTATTCAAACATTCATCATCATGTAGCAGGTCCTTTGCAGAACGTCGCTCTCATCACGGTGTGCCTGAAAGAAAGTCTCTCACCAGCTATCCAGCCTTGTGTGCTTTCATACTCAAGTAGTCACTTATATCCTGTGCCCATCTTTGTGTCAGTCAGCCCCGGCCCTTTCTTCCTGGTACCATGCTTTCTGCTAAAAAAATTTCCAATTCGTTGTGGCGCTTGATATGACCAAAACATTTCAGCTTCTGAGACAGGATGCTGTTTATTAGCCAATCTTCCTTGATGTTCAGATCTTTCAAGATGACAGTATTTCTCCTCTTCTTTGTCCAAGATATTCTGAGATTCTTTGTATAGCATTTTAGCTCAAAAGCCCCTATTATCTTTCTTTCAATTCAAACATTACATAAGAATAAAACAACACACTGCAGGAAGTGTTTATTCTGACTTCCCAGAAGGTAAAGCCTTCTCTTCTATCACAACAGCTACAGCCTCACAATGTTCAACATCCATTTAGTTATTTTCAAATCTGTCACGTACACCTGTTCGCCTTTTATTGATCTCTAGCCACAAGCCCTTTCTGAGACTATCAGGTATGTACAATCTTTTATACTTGGAATGAGCATTCATTCATTCAGTAGCATGTCCCTCGCGGAACCATCGCTGCCATAACAACCCTACGGAAAACCTTCCTATCATGAGCAAGATGTCCTGCGTCTGATACACCCATCTGGAGATCATCTGCCACATCCTGCACCCATCTTCTCCTTGGCCTTCCTCTTCCTCTCTTCCCAGGCATATACCCCTCCATTATTGTTCTCTCTAGACTTCCATGACGTTTCAAGTGACCAAAATATTTCAATTTTCTTTGTTTTATTGTCTTTACTAGCCAACCCTCTTCAATATTCAGCTCTTGAAGTATGGATGCATTTGTTCTTTTCTTTACCCAAGATATTCTTAGAACCTGTCTGTAACATTTATATTCAAATGCATTTATGCGCTGTTCCGCTTGTTTAGTAAGTGTCCAGGTCTCACAGGCATATGTTGCAATGGGGAAGATGCATGCTCTTAAAAATCTGACCTTTGTAATTCTATCTGTACAATTCCATAATTTATTCAGTTGTTTTAGTCTTTGAAGAGCAATTGATAGTCGCCGTTTAATTTCTTTCATTGTGTCACCATTGTTGGTAACCAGTGACCCAAGATATTCGAAATTTTCCACCACTTCCAATCTTTCCTCATTTACATATATTTCCTTCTCCATGGCAGTTTTGTTTGTATGCATTAGGAATGAGCATACTTAACAAATTTGGCTAGATACTTTAAAATTTAGCACAGCATATGTTGCCACTCATCATCAAGTGCCTTGCCAACAAGTATGACAGTATGGCAAACTGAGATCTCCAACTGCATGTATCAGTTCGTGTGTGGACACCTCTCTATGCCATGAAATAAAGCCGTCAAGAATAATCTTGTTGGCCTTCCTCTGTCCCTTTTTCTACAAATCTTGCCAGTGATCACAGTATGTTCTATTTTCTCTATTTCCATAACATTGTCACACACAAAAATGAGTGCCATCTCCTTCTGATGTCTGTGTCTTTGGGTCCTAACCGCTTTTAAAATATCTGGGTTACTATTTTCAACTACCCAAGAAATTGTAAACAGTCTTTTGTGATACATGTGTTCTATTTTGTGTGTGTAGTTTCTGGCACCTGTTTTGAAAATTTCTGGGACTAAAAAAAAAAAAAAAAAAAAAAAACCATGTTAATATTTTAATAAGCCAAATCACTAAAGTTTGTACGATATGAAATGCTGACTGCCACTTGAGAACACACAAGTGGTTAACCTTTCTAGACCAGTGGTTCTCAACTTGCCTAATGCCGCGACCCTTTAATACATTTCCTCATGTTGTGGTGACCCCCAACCATAACATTATTTTCATCGCTTCTTCATAACTTCAGTCAATATGTATTATCCGTATGTCTTTGGCGACCCCTGTGAAAGGGTGGTTCAACCCACAAAAATTTCATGACCCACAGGTTGAGAATCGCTGGTCTAGACAGATTCAGACAACTCCCCTTTTCTGCAGCATATTAAGTTGTCAAGACTCATCAGGTGCCATGTTTGTGGCTCCAACACTAGGAGATTTAAGTTGTTTATTCACATTTCCCTCATCCTAAACAAAGAAACGAGATATTTATACATAAATCAACAAGGTCACTAATTTAGTTTAAAAATTACTGGAGTTAAACCATAAACAAACCAGTGGAAGGCAAAGGGTAACCACTGCGTTAATTTCCCCATTAAAAAAAAATGCCTATCAATCAATTGTATTCAGACAATGATGTTAATAGGGATTCTAATGGAATCACCTCGTCCAGTAGGGAGCAACATTTTCTACGGGTGATACCCGTTATTCAGCTACTGCAGAGAAAATAAATGCCAGTAACATCTTTAACATTCGTATATGGAATGTCACAACACCCGTACAAACTGGAAAACTGGACAACATCAAGAGGGAAATGGAGAGAATGAATATCAAAATATGAATTGGTGAAATGCATTTGCCAGATGCATTGAAAAAGTATTCAGATAAACAAAACTCATTAACTCAGGTGGGATGGAACATACAAATGGTGGTATCATTTTGGACCCACAGAATGCAAAAGTGTTAAAAAGAATTCTGGACTATTTCAGACAGGGTGCTACTAGTAAAGATCCATAGCAAACTACTTAATATAAACTTGGTACAGGTGTATGCACCAACTGCAGAAAGCAGAAAACTGTGGGTCGAAAGGCTTGTCTTCACGGAGCCAATCTTTTTTTTTTTTAAACGACCTTGGCTCCCAGGTTGACGCAGCCTTAAATGGGTACCATGTAGTCCTTGGAAGTAGAGGCGGCTGGCATGACATTGACCATATCACCCACTGAGTGCTGAAGGTATGAAAAAAGGGTCCTTGATTTAGCTTTTCTTTTCCTTCTAATGAGTCTGCTAGTCACAGTTTATAGTGTGTAAAAATGACTGCTGCCTTTTTGCATTCAAGCTGACACCTCCACAGGAGGACAGAGGAATGTTTCCTTTATTTCTTCAGCGTCCATTCAAGGACATAACTATACTGGGTCCATTCACAGCACAGCTGCGATATTTGGGCCTTTCACCTGACACACCCAATTTCACCTGGTTTTTCTTGCCCAGGTAAAGGGGAAGAATTCATGTTAACCACATTTGAATTTGTATTAGTTGGTAACAGACACTTCAACATACAAAAATGTATCTTCTTTCTTCTTTGGGTTCACCAGCTGGCCCGATCCTTTGGAAAGTTATGGTTGTTGATCCACATCTGGACTTTAGTCTTGTTCCAGAACTCGAGTGTTCATGCACATCCATTTTACAGACTTGGCTTGTTTGTATGCAGACTGCTGGTTCCTTGCCTCTCAGGCAGATGTTCTCTGACTCTGAAGGAAACCCCTAAATAATTTACCTTTACGACAAGCTTACTAGGGAGACTGTGTATGTTCTTGTTTTCCACATAATGGGGCCTCCAACCCCTACAGAGGAACAACGAACACTTGCTGAAACACATCTGGTTTACAAAAGTTACCTTATTTGACTTTATTTCCAAAGGAATGGTGACTGGCCCATCATTCTGTATATGAACTTGCATGTAGGCTCCAAATTCACCATCTATAACGGTAGTCAATGGAAACAATACATCTGTTGTTAACAGAACCATACAACAATGATAACCCATATGTTGGGATTTGTGAATATACCTGCCTTCCATGACAACAACTGAGAGCTTAGTCTGGGCTGTTTCAAACAAGGTTGGCGATTGTGATGGATTCAGCGAAAAGCAAAGTAATATGTTGTATTTTTTAAATGTAATTACATCATTACCACCAAGAAGATGATGGAAAGATAATGTCCAGACAGACCTGCAAACACTTGGTGTTACCAACTGGAAAGAGAAGGCCAACCAGAGAGATGAATGGAGGCGGGTGATATCTACAGCAATGAACCTCACGGGCTCATAATGCTGAAGAAAAAGAAGAACAGTTACATCTTTGCTAGTTTGCGGTGTATGCTGATATAGGCACTCTAGCTGCAAAATTATGTTATTGATGACTATTTTCAATCAATCAGGTGCCATCTGCACAATAAAGGCTGGCTGCAATGGATCCCCAACACTCTGTCTCTTGTATTGGTTGTTAACTCAAAGTGCGGTTTATCCATCTCTTGATGTTGTCCTCCCACTTGTATCAGTGTCTATCTTTTGCCTTCAGCTTTAGAGAAGTATTTTAATAGAAAGTGATTAGTTCTAATTCTCTTTTCCATTACTTTTTGTTAGTTATGAGTCCTCTAGAGGTTACAATATCATCTCTATTCAAGTAGACCTGACATATAAATAATCTTACTGGCTGGATTTTTTACAAATTAAGAAAAAGGGTCACATACCCTCTCACTCTTTTTTCCTTGTTAGACAAGGACAGAAAACTCAGAGCAGTGTTCATGTTAACAATTCCTTGGCAAGTGGAAAGTGAAAAAAAGCAGGCCAAATAAGCCAATCATCTGGTAAAATCTCCAGATTAGCAAAACAGAAAAATACTGACAGTACATGGGAAGTTAATGCTGGTATTCAAACATTGAGATCCTCACTGGTGCTACAGAGTCATGGTGATATTTCCCTTGTATGATTTATAGAAGACAAGAACTTATTGAAATATCTACAGCTTTTTTTTTTTACCTAGAATAATCTCTTTAAAAATGTGCCCGCACTGACAACAAGGAATCTATTACATTAGCAATTAAAAAAACAAGAAAGTGCTGGTACTGTGTACTGAAGGTATAAAAATATAAAAATAACAGACCCACTGCTCTTTCAAGCATGTCCAAGTTGCATTTAATTAAGGATTACTGAAACTGGATGTGTTGGGTTCACAAAGGAAAAGATATCTTCTTCTATTTCTTCTTCTTTGTTCACCATCTGTAAGCTCTTGTGGAAAGTTCTGGCTGTTCGGTCCATTTGGACTTTGGCTTTGCAGATGAAGATTTTCAAAGCTATATAAAAAAAATACATAAAACACAAAAATGTAATCTATGTATGTATAATTACTGCACATGGGCATCTAGGTACACTCTAAGCATCAGTTCTGGGAACTTTTTAACCCTACCTACGTAGAGTATGTATGTCTGCCTGCGTGATATTTTTGCACCAGTGATATGTATGAATGTATATTCCAATTTATGCATTAACAATTCATGCTTTTGTATTTTTACTTAATGTTCACAATATGTATGTTGTTATATGAAAATAACATCAGTTCAAAATCTGTTATCTTTCGTTATTTACAAGGTTTTTTTTTTTTAATTTATTTATTTTGTGTGGTCATTAATGTGGATGGTTGTAAGTTGCAGAGGTCATAAATTGAGGAGAAAGTTTATTTTCACTCTCAACAGGCAAACACACTCTGGGGAGAGAAAATGAACCACACAAAATAAAACCTGCACATTCAGAAAACATGATCCAGTTTACCTTGAATTTTGTCAGGCTTGTACCGTGACCTCAGGGTATCCAAAAATGTTTTGTAAAATGGTCTTGCAAGATCTGGGCCCATAGCTTTGCTGAAATCTGGCTTGTTTCCTTTTAGTGTCACATCAAGGGTGAACTACAAGACAGATAAATGGTTACTCATTTAAGGTTATCACAACACACAAACAACAAAAAAGTCTCACCCAAGATTCATCCAATATAAGTTCGCAACAGCAGCTGAAAATACTTGGAAAAACATTGATAGATCTATTAAATGTGGGTTAGGGTGAGCACTAGCATAGGCATCATAAAGGATGGGGAAAACAATAAAAGGGTATGGTGATGCATACCAGACAACTACACCCAGCACAACCAGAGCGATAACGACTGCTTCCAGAGCACTCGCATTGCCAGGAGAACAAGCAGCCACATATGTAGTAATGGTATCAGACTTGATGAACATGCTTCAGAAAACTGCAATACGTTATCTATGCTTCGAATGGGTAGGAAGCATTTAAAAGTCACAATTAACCTCTGGATCTACACTCCTGGCCATGCAAGAGTAAAAGGTAATGAATGAGCCGACCAACTGGCAATTAATGCACCAATGCATACAGACAGAAGCATGAACACAGCTGAAATCATCTACGTAGTACAGACTAGGCTGACTGACAATGATAAATCTCTGACACTAACATGATTACACGAACTGGGAGTAAAGAAAGCTTGATGAAGCATGGCCATATTATCTTTGAGGCAAAATCAGGAGACAATGTAACCAACTTCAAATGGACTGGTTGATGCAACAGAGGACTGAGCACACATGGAAATGCCCAATTTGTAGTGATGCTGATTGTGATAACATAACATGGGTAAATGGCGACAAGTAAATATATTCAAACTGAGAACAGAACACTGCAAGTTGAAGGCCATATTTATGATGGATTTGGTCATGTATACAAGGGGTTTGAAATGCAAGAGAACAGACTTCACTGGACCAGGTTTTATCCCCTGTGGCTGGGTCTCTCATCACACAGTGGTTCACCACCCGACTAAACCACAAATACATACAAACCCGACTAATAAACACATGTAAAACATGACTAATATACAAATGCAAACCTGACTAATATACATATACAAACCTGACTAATATACAAATACAAACCTGACTAATATACATATACAAACCTGACTAATATACAAATACAAACCTGACTAATAAACAAATGCAAACTTGACTAATATAGAAATGCAAACCTGACTAATGTACAAATGCAAAACTGATTAATACACAAATGCAAACCATACAAGTATACAAGTACAAACTAACTAAAGCACAAATACATAATTGAAAAAGGCACAAATACAAACCTAACTAAAACATAAGTACAAACATAATTCACACACACACAAAACAAATAAAACATAAATACAAATCTGAATAATTCACACACACACACACACAAACCAAATAACGCACAAATACAAACCTGACTGATGCATAAAATTTCGTAGTCCATATCTACAACACTCTTCATCCATCGTTTGTCTTCATTTTCACTAAAAATGCGAATGTTGAGGATTTTTCTAATACTGAAATAGACAGATAGCATTGGGTTAAAGATGGAGAGAACTCAGTGTTAAAGCTTTCACAAATAGAGCACATTTTATCAACATAAATTTTACTTTCTAGAAAAAAACATAATAAATAAGATCAAAACTTCACTGAAGGACAAAGCTGCTTAAATTACACAGACTTGCTTGATATGCTTCAAGGTAGCAGACCTTTGGGAGCGAGTGAACAGTGCCGAGGCACAGACAGATCATTATGGTCTGAGATGAATGGCGCTGCGAGGAGTTACCATGGCTAGTCATTCTACAGAGATAGGTATGGCCAGACGTAAAAAGAAAAGGTCCCTTTTCCACACTTTCAGGGGTATTGGGCATATAGGGCTAGACCTATATTTTATAGACCAATTGGCACTCGGTGGGTGATGTGGTCAGCATCATGCTGGCCGAAATTACTAGACAGGACTGCACCAGGTAACCACTTCTTCTTCTTCTTTCGTTCGCAAGAAATAAATTATCTATATCTGCAAAGCTGTCTCTAGTATGAATTTCACTGTCTTTTGTAATTCACTAAGCGGTCCGTAAAGTTTGACTTCCACAAGTGTCTCTTTTGGTCAAAGGTTTTGCCTGAAAGCGCTGAATCTGGGACAGTCTTGAAGGACGTGATCTGTTGTTTCAGGTGCCAGTCCACAAGTACACATGGCTGATTGGCCAATCTTTGGTAACCACTAATGGCTGGGTTGACGTGCGAGCCAAGGTCATTTCTGAAGAAAGCCCAGTTCTGCCAGGACCCGAACCTACAACCTTCCGATCCACAGGCAACTGAATAGCCACTACACCACAGTGACTCCCAGGCATGGTCATACTGAACAAAATCTGGTGCAATCAAATTGATCCTCGTGATTTTGAATTACCTCTAAAACTACAGATTAAAAGAGGAAAGGCTAAACACGCTGTAAGTTAATGCTAGAATTATAAGTAGGGGAAAAACTAAGACTATAAGATAACTAAGCATCAGGATTGGTTGTGAATCTTTTGCGAGACTGAGCATTACATCTCAAAGTATGAACCTTTGGGTTTTGTGAGTTCTGAAAATGGCTTGTATTTACTGCAATGAGGTTGGTGTTAAGTCTTTTTTCCTGACTGGTAAGAAAGTACTAACTTCAAAGGGACTGTGTGATTTCCCATCTGCACACCCATAAATCAATGGGGTGTTCCTTATGTGGGTTCCAGCACCCTATTTCCCCCATTCCCAAACTTCTTGTATTTAATTAGGGATTTGCTGAAATCAGATGTAAGATGCCAGTACATCTACACAGAGATGGAGGAAGGGTCATTCTGTAGGTGCAGGCCCACCAGGTGTCATCAGAAGTGGTGGAGACGAAATGGAAAAAATGTGGGTTTCTATTATAACTAATGCGTCTGAGTGTTTGCGTGTGCAAGGTTTGAGAGAGGGCAATACAATTTTTGCACCAGGCACCACCTGACCTCGCAATGCCCGTAGGAGGAGGGGGGGGGACAGAAAACTTTCTACACCGGGTATCATCTGAACTTGCTACACCACTGCATCCAACGTAGAAAAAGAAATAATGAGGCAGAGGGTAAGATGTATTCCCACCCTAAGGAGGTAAAACTAGACAAGACTATAACTTATATTAGTATTGGAAAGACTAAGTAGTAAAAATCTGCTATGAACACTTACATATAATCCATTTCCTTCTCCGTATCATGTTTAGATATTCCTATGAAGACACAGATGCCTCGACCGATGGACCCCACTGTCTGATCTCCAACTGGTTAAGCAAAAAGTTTGTGTGTACACAACGATAATATCATGAAATAAAAACATAATAATCCAAATGAGAAAAAGAACTAGCAGAACTTAGAAAACTAGACACTCGTCTCGTGGGTTCAATCCTGGGAATCAGGCTTTTTTTTTTTTTAAATGGCCTTGGCTCCAAGGTTGACCTGATCTTAAATGGATGCCAGGTGAAATCCTGGGAAGCAAAGGTGTCTCCGGTGATGCTGACAACATCACCCACTGAGAGCCCACTGGTCTATAAAATATAGCCTAGCCCTGAATATTCAATACGTCTGAAGGTGTGGAAAAAGATCCCTTGCTTTTACTTCACAATATAACAATCACTATAAGGCAAGACAACCTTTGTGAATTTCACCTAGGAAATGTACACTATGTTAAGATGTACACTATGCACTAAAATGTACAGTGCGTTCTGTTTTTTCAGGGGGCTGAGTGGTCTTGAAGTATGGTGATCGCCTCAAGTGATGGAGGTCCTGGGTTCAAGCCCTGGTGAAGGCTGGGATTTTTAAAAGTGGACTTACAGCAATTTCCCCTGGTCTCTAGGTAGTAAGATCGGTTGCCCTTGTGTATTTTTGCACACATAAAAAAAATCCCTTGGCAGTTGGAAATCTAAAAGAGTGGCCTAACGGAACTGCCCAGACAAAATATGGAGTTTAAAATCTACCCAAACTACTTCAGGCTCCTCGCCGGTGCAACCGAGTTCGTGCACTGGGCTGAGATTCTTCAGACTTAGGCTAGAGTTAGAAGTAGAATGGAGCACTTATGGGTTACAGCTGTGTGCCAGGATGTTGATCCGTCGAATAAACAGAAATAAAATATGTTAAAATGCAAATATTTATAAAATAATTCAGTTCTCTCCACAATTTACAATATTTATTTAAGGTTAATATATCTGTTTGGCAGTAACTGCTACTGGATGTAAAGTGTTAGTTTTTTTTTACATTTTGTAGGTCATGCAAGAATAAATTCACTGCTCCCTAACAAGCATGTCCTAAAAGTAAACTAACTGGGGATGTTTTCTTCAAAGTTAAAGCATATCTGCCTGAGAAAACAGTCTGCATTCACATTTAATCAAGAAGATCTGTAAAGATGTTCACATAAAATGAAAGTTCTGGAACAGGGCCAAAGTCCAGAAGTGGATGAACAACCAGAACTCCCCACTAAAATTTACAGCTGGTGAACGCTACTAAAAACTATTGGGATATAAGACCCTAAACCAAAGAAAAAATCTCCACAGATAAAATTAAATAGTAAAATATAAATCGATGAAAATAATCAGCTAATTAAAAAATCTTATTATGTTGGAGTTGAACTGATTCAAGAACTGACATCACAGCACTTGGGGTATTCCCATAAGCGCTCTGTCACCATCTTCAGCCACGAACACAGAATCCCAATACCAATGGTGCCATTAGCAGTCTGATTATATGTTCCTCTTGACGTTCTTCTGAGCGTCGAGTATCGACCAGATCCCCTCGTCACTCCTCAGTACATCACTCTCATCAAACTGTGACTATAAATTTTCTGTTCCAAATCGTACATAGGCTCCCATCTGACCACGCCTGCTTTATCATGCATCAACATTCCAGTGAAATGTGCACAGCCAGCCAATCTGTCTGCCTGTTCACTTCCTAACACACCAGCATCACCAGTATGTTAAATTTGTTAAGACTGAATGAATACATCATTAGGCTATCTTCTGAATAACGGTCCCAAATTAACGAGGCCGAAAATATACCCTAACAGAGCCTCAGTCACGTGTCAATTGCGAACTTCCGGAGGCTTAAATTGCGCACTTCCGCCATCGCCGATGGCTGGGACTCACGAGCAGCAGCTACCGCATCTCCTGCAGCTTCCTTTATTTTATTTGCTCGTGAGTCCCAGCCATCTAGTTTAGCCCCAATCCACGCCGCATGAGCGGTGAAGGGGATACTCTTGGCGGTGGCGGTATAGTCCCCGGAGGTACGCAATTCGGGGGTGGCGGTATAGTCCCCGGAAGTGCGCAATTGACATATGACTGAGGCTCTGTTAGGGTATATTTTTGGCCTCAATAATTTGGGACTGTTATTCGGAAGATAGCCCATCATTAAGTGCCTTGTCGACTGGTGATCATGCCTCTCTACAATCTGTGATCCGCAACTGTGTGTATCAGTTCAGGTGTTGACACCCTTGCGTGCCATGACAAAAGGCTGTCAAGAATCTTTAGGCGCCGTCTTTCTCTGTCCACAAACCAAATATTTCCAGTGGTAACATGTTCCCTTTTACCTCTTCTAATAAGGTTAAGGTTAGCTGCGTATCCTTTACAGGACGTTGCAGAATCAACCCCAACAGCCACCTCTTCTCATGACATGACCAAAATATGACTGTCCCTGGTGTTTGTGAAAAGCTGTCTTCGAGCCCTCGCCTCTTTAAAAACATCTGGGTTGCTCTTCTTAGCAACTTAGAGCCCAAGGAATTCTAACTGTTCTTCTGTAAAACCGTGCCCCCCCCCCCCCCCCCCCCCCCCCCGTACCCCCCCCCCCAACCTTCAGATACTCATACTGTTAGCTTGTTTATTAATTGTCCAGGATTCACTGCCGTATGTAAAACCTAGCTCTATATAGCAGGTGATAATTCTTATCCTAACATCCAAAATCAATACATATCAAAGCATTTAAAACATCATCAAACCTGTCACCGATGCCTGTATTACTCGTTGAATTACGGCTTTCATTTTGCACCAAATTAAATTCAGGAAACTGAACAGATAGTAACTAACTTTCGCTTTTTGCTACCACTTTTTGTTTCTACAACACAAGAGTATATCCAGTTTCCGCTTTCTTGCATCTATAAACGTTACCATTGGCAACAATAACCATTTCCGTTTCATAGTCCATAAATAAAAATAGTTTTAATTTATAGTCAATTGTGATCAGCGTTCACCGTATAAAACCATCAATACAACAGTAGAGTAAGTTGACAGAATGTGACCTTCATTTAAGATAAGCATTCGTCATAATCCTTACGTGCAGCTATAGTAGCTCTATTGTATTCAGAATAACAAAAAATTATTGAATAATTTAATTGTCTCCTGCAAAACTAACTACTAGTACTCAACTATACAATACTAATAGTTGTTTTAGGGCTCCCCCCCCCCTCCCTTTTTTTAAAAGAAGAAACGTATTTGCAGTTAGTACCTTCCGTAAGGTAGAAAACTTTGTAACATTGTGTGTGCATATGTGTACGTTTTTTTTTAAAGAAAAAATTTAGAATAATCCCTTGTTGATGTTGTTTTGTTTATGTTGTGCTGTAAGTGGAGGTGCTTTTTTTTTTAAAAACGGCTCTCCTCCGAACTTCAACCGATATTGTGGCGGCCATAAAATATACTTACGGGGCTCAGGCATATGTAAAATGCGGACTTTCTACAAAGGAACAATCGCGGCAAAACTAGGATTACTTGACAATTTCAAGAGATGCAACATTGCAGATAATAGTAGCAGACGATAATACCGACCCTTGACAATTTTGAGCATTTCTGCAGACGATACTAGCAGACGATAATAGTGACCATTGACAATTTCAAGACATTACAGACGATGAAAGCGATATGGCGGGGAGACCACACACTCCCACGCAGATTAGCAATACTGTTCTTCCAATTAAGGATTTAGCAGCGGTAGATGTCAGACCTGCCGACCTGCCAACCTGTATTGAGTAATTACCTTTAAACTGGTATGGTTGAAATGGCTGGCTACCCACAGGCTAATACGCAACTCGCAGGTATGTTCTTCCTGCCAGGGCGATATGTCGTTGGCAGCGCGGCAGGTGGCCTCTGACAGATACTCATGGCACTGTTGTCGCTGTAGTACTCAGTGTAGCGTGTGCACTGTCTCGTTCTTTGCTAGATGCAACATGTCAACTGAGAAAATAGTCATGATGATGATGATGTTTTACTGGCGTATCCCCCGCGCCGCGGGGGGCTAAACTAGGTGCCTGGGACTCACAAGCAAATTAATTGGAGGAAGTTGCAGGAGATGAGATAGCTGCTACTTGTGAGTCCCAGCCATCTAGTTTAGCCCCATCCGCGCCACGCATAGCGGCACGGGGGATACGGTCGGCGGTGAGGCACAGTCACAGAAACAGGTCCGTAAGTAACATATTGCTGAGACCCTGTTAGAGCATTTGTTTCAATATACGGAGCTGGCATATTTTTAATAGAACTGAGCTCCGTAAGAATATTTCATGGCCGCCATAATATCGCGTCGAAGTTCGGAGGAGAGCCAAAAAAACTATTACCTAATAGAATAGGTATAAGAGATTCCTCTAGTAAAGTGACTATGGTCGGCATGACAGTGAGAGTATCACCCTACTAGTACGATCATTCAGCTATTGTAAATCAAATCAAATATGACTAATCTGCTTTTTCTCTCAACATAATCTTACTAATTACAGAACAAAGTCTGGTGACGCATATTAAGATGGGAGACATTTACCTAACTTATCATAGGAACAGTTTTTTAGAGATACCATACTAGTCTTTTATTCACAGATGAATTTCTATAGGTTTCACCCCTTATTCACTGATAAAAAATAACATACACAAAATCTTTTGCTCTTTGGTGCATGTTAAAGTTGTGGCGGCCATCTTTAAACTGTCATTATGTTAGACGCTTAACACTTTGACATCCAAAACAGCAATATTGACAGATCACAAGACAATGATGTGGTTACTGCAATTTTTATCGCACTTTTAAGGTTAGCAATTAAGCCCCGCATGGTGAAATTATTCAGTTCAGGTTCTTCTTCACCATGTGCGTTTCCAGGGCCCTATTGTGGAAACAGCAATGGGTCTAGACCCACTGCCTACCCAGAAGCATGTAATTAGTTTACTCATTGAGAGCTTCCTTCAAAGTCAGATGCATCTGCCTGAGAGGTAGGGAACCAACAGTCTGCATATAAGTGAGTCACATCAATAAAATTGGTGTGCACACAACACTCAGTTTCTTGAACAGGACTAGATTTCAGAAGTTGACGAACAACCAGAACTTTCCACCAGAGTTTACAGCTGGGTGAGCGCGAAGAAGAAGAAGATACTTGTTACCTATTATCTATTTCGACATCCTATCACATTAGTCCGACCCATTCGTGCTCCGTCCTCCAATGCAGCAGCTCTGTCGGTGTCTTCATGCTCACCACATCCAGTAGGAATTTATTAGCATATATTCTATCTTTGCCCCGCAGCCAGTGTCTGCATACTTTCAAATCTGCGGTTCATTGTCTCTGACCCCTTTGCCTCAGCCTACAGCTCATTCAGTATCGGCCATGTCCCTGCTTCTACTTCTGTGCATGAACACTGTTTGAAAACAATACAACGTCACAACATCCAGTATGAGAATGGAGGTGGAGGTTGTAATAGCAGTTTCTGATGGTTTGAGATCAGCACAGCCCATGTGTAATTGTAATGGGCTCACAGAGCATGCTTCAAAAAATTTAAACTGGCATGTTGCATGCAGAGTGGCTTTCATCAGTAAGACTCAGATCAAGAGCATGTCCTGGATTTTCAGGTGTGTGGGGTAACAAGCAGGCTGATAGATTAACTGCTGTTGCTCCTCTGGGCAGTGAGCTACATTATGATATAGTGGACATCATGAAAGCTCTCTGGTAACAAATGAACAGTGCAGAAGAACAGAAAGAATCCATACATTGAAGGAATAATTCAACGGGGTGAGTAGAGGTTCTGGAGGATGTTTAAGACTGATGGACAAACATGTTCAAACTTTTAATCAGGTTGTAACTGGTACTATTAGCATGCTGACTCTTCGTTGGCTACTGAAGAAGGGGAAGGAGCACATATGAGAAGGTCCCAAGAGCAGTGATGTCAATTTTTGAATTATTTATTTATTCCTACTTCTGACTCCACCAGTCCCTGCTGACATAGCAAGTATGTTGGCTCTTTTAATTAGGTCAGATCCAGAGAGTTATAAAACATCCGCCTGTGACAGAAGACAGCAAGTAGATCATTTTATCTGAGTAATTATCAAGAAATATTTGACAAATTGTTTGGAATTATGAAGAGTTAATTTGTTTTCTTTTTCACGTGAGTGTGTTTGTGTGTGCGGGGGGGGGGGGGGGGGGGGGGGGGGGGGGGGGGGGGGGGGTAAGAAAAATCGGGGGGGGGGGGGGGGCATGTGTGCATGACTGAGTGACTGACTGTGCATGACTGAGTGACTGACTGTGCATGACTGATTGACTGATTTTAGCTGTTTATGCTTGCCATATCTGCATGTGTTCAGGTCCTGACTGAGCGTTTTTTTTAATGACCTTGACTCCCAGGTCAATCCAGCCTTAAATGGGTACCTAGTAAAGTCATGGGAAGTAAAGGCAGACTGCATGATGCGGATCACATCACCCACCAAGTGCTGATTGGTCTACAAAATATAAGCCTAGTCCTATATGTCCAAAATGCATGAAACGAATCCTCTACTCCACATATCTACATGTAGCAGACAACACTGTGCAACAGTACATTGTAGATTTACTCTATTTCTTTGCAGTTATCACCATGACTGATGAGGCAGAAGCCCTGCATATTAGGCCTCCTGAGCCTATAGTTGTTTCCGTGTTGAGGGCTAGAAATTTGGTAAGTCGGCTGTTGGATATTTGTAGGAAAGATGGAAGATGCATAACTGAGATAAGAAACGGAATAGGACAGGCAAAAACTGCATTTTATCAAATGAAAAACATTTTATGCAATATATCCTTGTCATTGAGAGTTAGAAAAAGAATTCTTGCTTGCTACATACATCCAGTTTTAACATATGGCTGTGAATCCTGGACAATCGGTAGGTAGGCCAAACAATTTCTCGAGGCCTCAGAGATGTGGTTTTACAGAAGAATGCTTAGAATACCTTGGACAGCCAAAAAAAAGCAACCAAGAGGTTTTGAAAGAGGCGGGAGTCTGAAGACAACTTATCACAGACATCAGAAGGAGACAGTCATCATTTTTCGGCCATGTTATGAGAAGAGGGAAAATAAAACATGTTGTGACCACTGGAAAGATCTGTGGAAGGAGGGATAAAGGAAGACAACGAGAGAAGATGCTTGACAGTCTTGTTGCATGGCATGGAGGTGTGTCGGCACATGAACTGATACATGCTGCAGGAGATGGCAGATTCTGGAGAGGCATGATCGCCCACGCCAGTCAGCAAGGCACCTAATGATGAATGATGAGGAAAGATTTAATTAAAGTGAAATAATGAAAAACTGTATATAAATGCTCACCTTGTCAATGAAGGATCATCATCATATAGCAGGTCCAATGAAGAATGTAGCTCTCATGATAGTCTGCCTGAAAGAAACAGTATCTCACCAGCTCTCCTGCCTTGTTCACCTTCCTACTAAAGGTGTCATGTATATTTTGTGCTCATTTCCATGCTGGTCGGCCTCTGCTATTATCTTGTCTATATGATATGGCAAAAATATTTCAGTTTCTCTGAGACAAGACACTGTTCAGTGGCCGATCTTCTTTGAGGTTCAAATCTTGTCAGTTTTTCCTTTCTTCTTTGTCCATGGTATTCAGAGAATCTTTCTATAGCATTTCAGTTCAGAAGCTCCTATTTTCTTTCCTTAACTCTGCTCTACAGTCCACATCTCACAACTGTATGTTGTTACAGGAAAAATACATGCTCTCTCAATTTTGACTTTAATTTCCTTTCTGGAAATTAACTCTTTCACTCCCAGGAGGTTTAGCCTGAGAGAGCCTAAGGTGTAGTAAAGAGAGACATACAATTGGCTCATCTTGCATTCATTGGGCACCTAGGTAGGAACCTATGAACATATGATGCATTCCTTGGTACATAAAGAATTTGGGAGATGATAAGGAAATACAACCTCAGAATTAAATATTACAGCAGGACAGACCAGGCCCTTAGCTTGGGTTGGCAGCTGGTCTAGGAAAAAAGCTCTGATATGCGGAGAGATAAAGCATTGCTCTTTTTATCTGACAGCTTCCACAGCATACATTGTTCTGAAAATATGAGAGTTACTTTTTCCTGGGAAAATTAGGCCAAGATAGTTATCCTGCATGGGTGACACATTTTAGTTACAATACTGCCCAGGTTTTGCACTGTGAAAACTTACTGTGGATGACTTTGGAACTTGGAAAAAGAAAACAAAAATGTCAAACTTAGTCCTCTTTTAGCCACCTGAATGCCTGCTTTATTGAGGACGGTTTCTTTGCTATCTGAATTTAGTTTGTTTCTTTGTGGCGATAATTTTCGCCTAAGTTTGATTTCTTGCTGCTACAACATGTCTGCTCGATCAGGCTTGGTGGGCGTAGTCCGGCTTTTTGGGAGTGGATTTGGCAGCCCTAAGAAGGACTGCCATTTTTGCCTGGGGCGGCCTGGAACGGGAATGGGCGGGGTTTCATCGTGGCTGTGGATGACCTGTGTTGCTAATTACATTATAGAGGGAATCCAGTACATCAGCTTTGGCCTCTCTTGGTTTTTATATATAATGAAAAGATATAAAACTAAACGAAAAGTAGATCAGCAAGCTTTACAATATAACAAACACAAACAAAATGTGAACACTGCGACTAAAGAGCCTTCATCAGCACATACATAAATAAAACAAAACCAGAAGAATACACGAAATCACTTAACTGACATATTCCGAAGCAGCCACACTGATGTCTTGCCAGTGGAATCAAGTTTTTATAAACGCATGTTAAAATTAAAATTAAAGATCATTCAGTACATGAATATACTTAGGGGGTGATGGGTTGATTACAGTAGTTGTTGTTGCTTTGTTTAACAGTAGTAGTTTTATATTTTTTAAATTTATATTGCTTGTGTTATTATTATTATCATATGCCACAGGAAAGGATGTATGTGACTGTTCTCATAGAGCATTATATTATTTTTAATATTAGTCCAGTTTAGCTGTGTCCGTGGCTTAGGTGTTACGAGTCTGACTCGTAATTCCAACGTACCGCGATCAAAACCCACTGCTAGCTGCATGGATTTTAATCACAGTATAGGGTGTCACAGATCGACCAAGCCTGAAATGGGTTCCATGATTATGTCCTGGGGAAGTAAAGACGGCCGGTGTAATGCTGACCACATTACCCACCTAATGTCGATTGGTCTGTAAAAAATGGGATGCTCTTCCCATATGCCCGATGCACCTAAAGGCGTGAAAAGGGATCTTTACTTTACTTTACTTTACTTTACTATTAGCGCAGTTTAACAGTTGTAGTAGCAGCAGTTGATCACCCACATCAGAATGTGATAATTATCCTCATTATGATCTACATTCTTTAGTCACATCATGAAAAGGAGAAAATTGGAGTACATCATGACGGTGGGGTAACGGTAGGGGAAGGAGGCAGAGGGAGAGAAAGAAAGAAGATGGACAGTTCGACATCATGCATAAAAGATTATCTGTCTCAGAACTGATTAAAAGTACACGAGACAGAAGGTTGTGGATTGATGTGACTACCAAAGTCACATGACATGAACTATAATGCCACACAGCATTGACTAAAAGAAGAAGTAGCAGCAGCAGTAGTAGTTGTTGTGGTTGTAATAGAAGCAGTAGCAGCAGCTACAAGTAATAGTGTAGAAATAGTGTTTGGTAATTACAGCTACTGCTGTTGTTATTGTTACTTCTGTTGTAGTTGCTACTGTTGCTATCATAATTGTTGCAAAACTGTTTCTGTGCTTTTACACAGAGGGGCTCTAAGGGAGATAATCTGCAGTGCTTTGTGAAAGTTGAGTTTGGGGACAGAACTCTGGGAGAAAGCTCCAAGCAGGAATGTATCCCAGAATCACCTGCAGAGTTTAACTTTAGTGCCAACATTATGTTCAGTTTTGATGATCCAATCTCTCTGGATGAAATTCTACAAAAGCCAGTGGTTGGTGAGTAAGAATTGCATTATAGCTTACAGACTAACTGACTGACTGACGTTTAACCCAACCAGGACCACACGACAAGCAACAGACACCCGGTGACACAAAGTGCCACCATTCAGATGAGATTCGTCCACTGGAAGTCCCAGAAACCGTGTTCAACCAGAAGGTTATATTTAGGGCCCCAACATCAGCCAGGGTGGGGCTTTGAAATAACAAAATTGAGTCAAACATTGGGACAATGATTAATGCTATTTTAGCTTGGTTGGTTAGTTGTGTATCCTTTACAGGATGTTGCAGAACCAACCCCAACAGCCCTCGGCTGTTGTGTGGTTTTTCTAGGCAAATTTACGTCCAGTAGTTTGCCATTGCTTTCTGGACAGTCTGCTTTCTATTTTAGCTTACAAGTTGTAATAATAAATGTAAGATTAATTATATTGTCATCTCTTGTAAGATGCAATTTTTCTTTATTTGAAGCCCCACCCTGGCTCTTACCAGCGGCCGCAATATAGCCCGGCCATAAATATCGTCTAATGACTGAACGCAGTGTCTGGGACCTCTCAATGGGTGATCCTCATCCACATGGTGGCACTTTGTGTCATTGGGTGTTTATGGCTTGTGTGATGTCCTGGTGGGGTAAAAGAAGAGAGATAAATAGAAAATAAATGTAAGATCAAAAAAGGTGTATCTTTGATCTGTGAATAAATTTTGTTTCAGTGATCAGTCAGTCAATTAATCAGCCAGTGCCTTCTCTGTAATCAAGTCAGGCTCATCTGTGTCGGGATGTTGTCCTCCCACTTGTATTGCTGTCTGTCTCTTGCTTTCTTACCTTCGACTATTCCCTTCTGGATGGTTTTTCAGAGAATGTTATGTCTTTTAATGTCCTATTCTTCTTCTTTAACATTTAGATCCCTGATGTTCATTTTAAGAGAAGAGGTGTCAACACACAAACTGATACACACAGTTACGGATCACAGATTGTGTGTGGGTAGGAAGATCGGACACCTGTGTGTATTGATGTGCACGTAAAAAAATCCTTTGGCAGTTGGAAATTGAAAAGAGTGCCTAAAAGGCCAAAATCTACCCAAAAAATTGTAGGCTCCTTGTCGGTGCTACGGAGCCCGTGCACTGAGCTGAGCTACTTCGGACTCAGACTTGGGTTAGAAAAAGAACGGAGCACTTATGGGTTACCACCGTTATGCCATGATGTTGATCCGTTGTTCAAACCTCAAACCAGTTGTGCTCTAAGTTTCAAAGCCATATTGCACAACTGGTCTGATCAGCTTTTCATGTATTGTGATCTTAGTGTTACAAGACAGAGCATTTGATTTTAGCAGATGTTGTAGAGACGGGCCATTGAACTGGAGAGGCCTAACAAGTGGACCGGAGATTACCTACTGTCTGAAGTGTAATCATATTCTCTCAATGCAAAAACAACATGGAGACGAACGATAGAGAGGGACTTGAATGTGGCATCTCTGACATGGAAAACTGCACCGACGATTGCACAGGACAGGAAAGCATGGAAAGTCCTCTCTGAAGCCTCATGTGCCACTAGGCATAAAAAGAATTGATTGATTGATATGCTGGGGCTTGGTTCTTAGGCACATGATGATCCCCACTTCGAGCATTTTGGCCCCGGAGCAAACCTAATTGAGTGGCGCTGTTGTAGGTCATAGTATCATTTATTTCTGGGCTGTATAAAAAAAAATTGTCCTTCAATGTGGCGGAAATATTTCACATTTTTTTTTTTTTTTTTTTTGAGCTTTAGGAGCTCTCTGTTCATTTCCATTCTCTGCCGAATCTGTTTTTGATAAATTTTTTTTTCCCAGTAAAATATGATCTTTTCTTTATCTTTAACTCTTTGAGCCCCAAGGAACGCATCATACGTTTATAGGTTCCTACCTAGAAGCCCAATGAACGCATGATGCACTGATTTTATTAAATTTCTTTACTACCCCCTGGGCCTGTGATGCTAAACCCCATGGGACTTGAAGAGTTAAGACTTGGTTTGTTTTGTTTTTTCTTTGTTGTTCATTGTCCATAAGGTATAGCTGAGTATAGATAACATTTGATGATTATTATTGTTAATGTGTTGTTTATTTCTCTAGATGTTAATCATTCTTGCATCTTGGCAAAGATATTTTTGACCATTCCTATTCTCTTTTTGACCATTTCTTTTCTCTCCCTGATTTCTATTTCATGTCTGCCATCGTCTGTTATTACTCGTCCAAGTTAAGAGAAACTTGTTACACTTTTTTCTAATATCTCTGCGTTTACTGTGTTTTTAGGATTTATTTCATTGATGTAAATGCCAAAATCAGTGCCTCATGTTTAAGAAAAATTAATGTTGCTATGTTATGAAAAAGAGGGAAACTGGAACATTTTGTAAACACCAGAAAGATCTGTGGAAAGAAATAGAGGAAGACAATGTGAAAAGATTCTTGACAGCCTTGGGTTTTGGCGTATAGGGGTGTTATCACAGGAACTGTAACATGCTGTTGGAGATTGCAGATTGAGGCGAGGCATGATCGCTCACACCTGTCAACAAGGCACTTGATGATGATAAATTTAGTTGTTTGATGATTTGACAAAAGCAAAATATTTTTGGGAAAATGTAGCACAGAAATAAAAAGCAGATGTACAACTGTAGAATACTTTGCCAGCTCTCTGATTGTGGAGAAAAGTAAAAAAAAGCGTCACAGTTGACTTTAAAATTTTTTTTTTACACTCTAATTTCTATCCATCACATCGGTGGTCATGAAATACCAGAAATTCGTTATGCTGATGATACAGTATTACTATCAACATCACAAAATGGTTTAGAAAACTTATTAACCTCACTCCAAAGAAATAGCGAAAATCATAACTTATTTCTTAACATAGCAAAAACAAAGAAAATGCATACAAACAAAACTGCCATGGAGAAGGAAATATATGTTAATGAGGAAAGATTGGAAGTGGTGGAAAATTTCGAATATCTTGGGTCACTGGTTACCAACAATGGTGACAAAATGAAAGAAATTAAACGGCGACTATCAATTGCTCTTCAAAGACTAAAACAACTGAATAAATTATGGAATTGTACAGATAGAATTACAAAGGTCAGATTTTTAAGAGCATGCATCTTTCCCATTGCAACATACGCCTGTGAGACCTGGACACTTACTAAACAAGCGGAACAGCGCATAAATGCATTTGAATATAAATGTTACAGACAGGTTCTAAGAATATCTTGGGTAAAGAAAAGAACAAATGCATCCATACTTCAAGAGCTGAATATTGAAGAGGGTTGGCTAGTAAAGACAATAAAACAAAGAAAATTGAAATATTTTGGTCACTTGAAACGTCATGGAAGTCTAGAGAGAACAATAATGGAGGGGTATATGCCTGTGAAGAGAGGAAGAGGAAGACCAAGGAGAAGATGGGTGCAGGATGTGGCAGATGATCTCCAGATGGGTGTATCAGACGCAGGACATCTTGCTCAGGATAGGAAGGTTTTCCGGAGGGTTGTTATGGCAGCGAGGTTCCGCGAATGACATGCTACTGAATGAATGAATGAATGAATGAATTTCTATCCAGTTAGCAATGATGTCCTCAACTTTATTGTTGTTTTTATTGTTGTTTTTTTTATAATCTGTTGTTGCGTGTTCAAGTGAGGACTATATAGTTATTAAAATTATAGGTGCTTTCTTAATATCCTACCCCAAACAGGTCACGGGACAGTCTCATATTTCAGTGGGTGGTAGACAGGCTGCATGCAGTCATGGGACCTAGGCTGCATGCAGTTGTGGGACCTAGGCTGCATACTCTCGTGGGATGTAAGTGGGTTGGGGTTAGGGCCAGTTCTAGATGTTTTGAGGTCATTAAAAGCATCAGAAAGTCAGGAAACCCAGTCTTATCACCCTCTAAAATGTTGGACTGTCCTGGGGGTAGGATATTAATAAATCACCTAAATTATATTATTTCAGTGACAGTCTATGAAGTATTAACCAAAGAGAAGAAAAGCAAGGAAGAGAAATCAGTCATCCTCGGCCAGTGTTGTATAGATCTTCTTCCTCTTGTACAAGGTAAATGAATGTGAGAGTATTTGCAAAGGGGAGATGAGAAAATCGAAAGTTGATTTCATCATACTTTATTACAGTTGCGTCTTTATATCCTCTTTGTGTTCTTGTCAACACATAAGCTATTCACAAGTTATCTCCATCGCTTCTATCGGCTACTTTTATACTCATCACATCCCATGTCATTTTACATTCTTTCATTTTACTTACTACTTTCCATCTCCAGGTTTCGTTAAGCCATCCATGCTCATTTTTCTGTTTGCTGTTCACTGGAGAGCTGTCCTTGCTAAAGTGTCATGAGACATTCTGCAAACATGTCCAAGCCATCTCTATTATCTTCCTTCGATTACATTTGCCAGGGATGAACATTTTGTTTTCCATTATAGTCATCTGCCCCTTGATTTGATTTGATTCAAGAACCGACATCACAGCACTCGGGTCATTCCCATAAGCACTCCATCCCTATCTTCAGCAGCCAGCGAAGAGTTCTGATACTAATGGTGCCAGTAGCATTCTGATTAAACGTCCATCTTGCCTTTTCTCTGAGCCTCGAGCATCTGCCAGAACCTCTCGTCACTTCCCCCTGCATCAGTCTCACCAGACCGTGGTGATCCATCTGCTCCTCCGAACTGTAAACACTCTCCCACAAGGCACTAACCACATCTGCCTTATCATGTATCAGTATTCCACCAAGTTGTGCAGAGCCAGCCAGTCTGTCAGCCTGTTCATTTCCCAATGCACCGGCGTACCCCGGTGAAAAAATCCAGACAATACTCCTCACCCGTGTCCTCCACAGCGAAGCATGCCACTCTTCACGAAGCATACCTGTTCTGATCTTCCTCAGCATGCTTTCTAAGTCAGTTAAAATCACGCTGTGTGTGTGTGTCATGTTCTCTAGCCAGCGGAAAGCAGCAGTGACCGTCTCCACCTCCATTCTTAAACTGGATGTTGTGGTATCCTATGCTAGGCTCTCCTGCACCAAACGCCGTCTGCCCCTTAATAATGATTACCATGAAAAGGCAATCAAAAGTAATTAGATCAAGCATGATATTGATCAAACCACCCAACAGGTCCCAAACTGATGTTTTATTATAAATATAGGGCTAGCACCATATGCACAGGTTCTGTATTTGTACAGTGGCTAGCACATTCTAGCCAGATTTCTTAGTCTGCTCAGACCAAATAAAAATGTTATAAATAACACACCATGCACACGTTAAGACATAAAGAGTTAATGATGTAAAAACCAGAGAGTGTTAACAAACAGAATATTATGTATACAAGAAATACAGTGCTACTAGGGCCACTAATTTTATTTTAAATTTTTATTTTAATCTGTTTTTGGCACAATTGTCTTCTACAGGATCTGTGGAAATTAGCCGCAGTTTACAGTTAAGTGGGGTCACAGAATCTCCTGCTGACACAGTGCCATTTAATGAACCCAAGGTACTTTATTCTGTACTAATAGCACCTTTGTTATTATTAACATTGCACTTTATCTTCTTCTTTCGTTCGCATGAAATAAATTATCTATATCTGCAATGCTGTCTCTAGTATGAATTTCACTGTCTTTTGTAATTCACTAAGCAACCTGTAAAGTTTAACTTCTACAAGTGTCTCTTTTGGCCAGAAGTTTTGCCTGGAAGCGTTGAATCTGGGACAGTCTTGGAGGATGTGATCTGTTGTCTCAGGTGCCAGTCCACAGGTACACATGGCTGATTGGCCATTCTTAAATTTGTTGTACATGTGGCAGCGAAGTCGATTGTGCCCTGTTCTAAGGCGAACGATAATGACTTGTTCTGGTCTGTCCATAATATGGTAATCGTCTTGTGCCAGTTTCGGTGGCATTCTGATTGATTTGATCTGGCATTTTATCTATCGTTTTCTGTTTAGCAATATTGTGAAAGACTTTTGGGGGGTGTGTATCGATCCATTAATGATGTGTTGCGGTGCCAGTGGAAATCACTCAAAATGTCCGTCACTGTCTTATTTATAAAATAGTGAAAAACTTGTCAGTCCCAGCAAAATGTTCAAACTTCCACACTCAAAGTAAAAAATTTTTTGTGTATGTGAGTTAAATTTTAAAAATACTAAAGGTCACTTTGCACGCCAGTGGCACATTAGGCATACAAGACTAGATTCATATTTGTATAGACCTCATGCTGGCCACCTTTACTTCCCAGGACTTTACCTGGTACCTATCTGAGGCTAGGTCAACCTGGGAGCCAAGGTCATGTATGAACGAAAAATAAGGCGTCATGCGAATTTGAACCAACAGCCTTCAGGTCCGCAGGCAAACATGTAACCACTACAACACGCCAGCTCCCTGGTGAAGTCCAAGTGTGGAAGGAAAATCCTGTTGCATAAATAAAATAATTGCCTACTATTTACAGGATACAGTGAACAAACCCCACAGTGTTGTGATTTTGCAAGGATAATCTTAGGACATGCTTGTTAGGAAGGTAATAGGTCTGTTGTCCTGCCCCCACCTCCACAATTAAGTCCTGGAACCCACAGAGGACAATAACGTATACACAGTAGCGTTTATGGACATAAACCATTGCTTTCTGAATTGTATAATAATCATAAGTTTGTCATTGTCAATGTTTAGTGGTCTGAAACCAATTCACAACCAGCTGACATTAAACAGTGAAAATTTCACATTGTGAAACTGCACGGTCAGCCTCTAAACCACATACTGACAACTTCCAATTACCTGCTGCCGTTACTTGCTTCCATTCACTCCTGGATAACCAAATAAACACTAGTTTTGGTTGTGTCACACATCATCCATATATTAGGGTTTGGGGAGGGAGAAGCAACAATGAAATTCATATTGTTTAAATCACCACTAATGTCCGACATCTTGAGGGCTTGCTTATGGGCAGTGATGGTTGTGACATACAGAGAGTATAGCAGAAAACAGAGAGTATAGCAGAAAACAGAGAGTATAGCAGAAAACAGAGAGTATAGCAGAAAACAGAGAGTATAGCAGAAAACAGAGTATAGCTGAAAACAGAGAGTATAGCAGAAAACAGAGAGTATAGCAGAAAACAGAGTATAGCAGAAAACAGAGAGTATAGAAGAAAACAGAGAGTATAGCAGAAAACAGAGAGTATAGCAGAAAACAGAGAGTATAGCAGAAAACAGAGAGTATAGCAGAAAACAGAGAGTATAGCTGAAAACAGAGAGTATAGCAGAAAACAGAGAGTATAGCAGAAAACAGAGTATAGCAGAAAACAGAGAGTATAGAAGAAAACAGAGAGTATAGCAGAAAACAGAGAGTATAGCAGAAAACAGAGAGTATAGCAGAAAACAAACAGAGAGTATAGCAGAAAACAGAGAGCCGTAAATTGCATATGCAGAATAGTTGGATGGAGGTAGACTGTGAGGAAGACCAACAAGTCTTTAGAAGGATTAACATATATGCAGACGTACAAATCTTTCAAGTCACCAACTGAAAAGAGAAAGCAGTTAAAAGATGAATGGAGGTGGGTAGTATCTGTAGTAGTGAATCTCAAAGGCTCAGAATGCTGAAGAATACCAATAAGAAGAAGAAGAAGAAGAAGACTATTAGTGGTTGTTATAATGTTTATTACCATTTTTTTCTCTATCTCTCATTGTTAATGTACTTACTAAATTAACTTGGGGTTGTTTGTTGACTTGTGAACTCAGGGTGAGATAGACATCCGGGTAGCAGTGTCAGAGCCGCTGTTTGATGAATTCCAAATCAGTGAAGGCAACATGTTAACAATCTCTGTCGGAAGCTTATATTCCCCACCGGAATCCTGGATGATCACAGGTGTTAATCACAGCTATGGAGTGGCTCTGCCAGTTCCTCTCACTGCAGATGTAAGTTAATTCGTTTAGTCCCAGGCAGTTGCTAAACTTTCATGAAAACAGAGTTGAGTTGTCTTAAGAAATGTCATTTTACTACTCAGCACATTTGCATGCTCTGTTTGGATCTTCAGCAACCAGTACAAAGTTCAAATTCCAGTGGTACACTTAGCAGTCCGAATGTCTGTCCCTCTTGCCCTTCTCCTGAATGTTGAGTGTCGACCAGATCCCCAGGTCACTTCCTGTTGCACCATTCTCTTGGTGGCATCTGTTACCTACAGCTTACCCACAACCCTTCCAAACCAACACTATCTTTTTAACTTCACTCATTCTTCTAATAGAAGAAGCTACCCCCATCACTGTTAGCTGGGAATCCAATGTTACTTTATTTAAATTTCTTGTAAATGGTTGTTTTTGTGTGTGGCTATAGTTAACTCTATTTTAACTTTTCCTATGTGGTTGTTTTTGTGTGTGGCTATAGTTAACTCTATTTTAACTTTTCCTAAGTGGTTGTTTTTTTGTGTGGCTATAGTTAACTTTATTTTAACTTATTGTAAGTGGTTGTTTTTTGTGTGAATATTGTTAACTTTATTTATACTTTTCGTAAGTGGTTGTTTTTGTGTGTGGCTATAGTTAACTCTATTTTAACTTTTCCTAAGTGGTTGTTTTTTTGTGTGGCTATAGTTAACTTTATTTTAACTTTTTGTAAGTGGTTGTTTTTTGTGTGACTATTCTTAACTTTATTTAAACTTTTCGTAAATGGTTGTTTTGTGTGTGGCTATAGTATTTATAGGATGAGGGAGCCAACACCAGTCCCAGGCTTACCCTTAGTTGTCTCTTATGGCATGACTGGAAGGGTGCAGTGTTTCTATTCTTTGCTTCCCATGTAAGATGAATCAAAGCCACAAGAAAAACAACAGTCAGAGACAAGTGAACAAGAGAAAAATAATAACACTAATGAGAAGAAAACACCAAGAGATAGATGAGCATAATTTTATCAGAGGGTTAGCTAGGGAGTTTCATTTGTCAGTTATCTGCAAGACTTGGTATTAACTCATTTAGTATGATACATATGCATTCAGGTCATTCAAGCCCTGGAAAGGATATGCATCTGTCAGATTAAGTCTGATGTTGAGAATTTCTCTATCTCAGTACTAAAGTACCATTTTCACAGTGACTGTATTGCTGAGCTCTCTTTCCCTCTCTATAAGCTCAAAATCTGAATAACCAAAGTAAGGAGCTCAAAATGTTTGAGATCCATTGGAGCTTACATTCATTATGTATATAGCAATTGATTATTTCATTAACTGCTCAAATACTTTAACAAAACAAATCATTCTGCACAAACCAGTTTATAATTGCATAATTATAAAGACATTATTATTTCAGTTTTATTCATTGCTTGAGACGTTCACAACAGACAGCCTCCATTCTGAATGGATAGACAGCATTTGGAAGTGCATTTAACCTTCCTGACCTGGATCTACGAGAGCCACTGTGGTGTAGTGGCTAGACACTTGCCTGCAGATCAGAAGGTCATGGGTTTGTGTCCTGACGGAGCCGGACGTTTTTTTTTTCTTTCAAAAATGATCTTGGCTCCCAGCCTTGAGTGGGTACCTGGTACAGTCCATAAAAGTAAAGGCGGCCGGCATGACGCTGGCCACATCACCTACCCAGTGTCGATTGGTCTATAAATGTATAAAATCTGGGGCTAACCCTATATGCCTAAAGGCATGGAAAAGGGTCCTTTACTTTTACTATACACTTGGGTCTACACACCAGGACATGCTAGAGTTAAAGTAATAAATGAGTGGACCAACTGACAAGCAGTGCACCACTGCATGCAGTAAGAAACATAAAGAGAACTGATACCATCAAAACTATATAAACTAGGCTTGTGGATAATGACAAGTCTCAGATGCTAACATGATTAGATGACCTGCAAGTGAAGCCTGGTGAAGCATGTCTGTGTCATAAAATGTTAACTCGGGAGATGTGATCCAGCGTCACTGCACACAGTTATGAACCATAAGTGCTCTGCCACCAGTACGGAAAGCTGATAAGAAACTGTCCACATGTGTCGCTGTCCGCACGAAACTCCGTAGCTACAGCGAAGTTCCTCCATTTACCCCAGAGTGTTAAGTCTGGTACCCATTTCCTAAAGGCTGGGTGAACCCCGGGAGCCGCCTGGTTTCGAACACCAGCCGTAGGCTGCAGTGAGTCACAGTGGATTTGAAAGGGAGTCTCCTATCAACTGAGCTAATGCAGCCCCCATGTCTATGCTTTGAGGTGAAGACAGGAAGAAGCATTGTAACCAACACATAATGGGAACATTCAGTAGAGATTCACTGGGATTGCTGCTGCCTCAGAGGACTTCTCACATGTGGGAAGCCCAGTGTGCAGCAGCATCCACCATGATAACATAATTGCATATAGAATGAATTATGTTATAAATAATTCTTCAATGATGTTCTGAATTTTGAACAGAAAGAATTGCCCGTGTTGTTTGCCAATGGGAAACTCAAATCTCCTCAAGAAAAAGAGGGTCCAAAGAAACAGAAAAGGTGGGCGGTACCTGGCACAGCAATTGGTAATGCTGTCTTTATGCCAGATAGGTGAGCTTTCAGTGTAAAATAATTTAAAATGTATAATTTCATTACTTACGTTAACCCTCTCACTCTGAGAGAGCGGTTTTCCGACTTTTACGGATTATTGATGATATGACATCTTTTATCAGCAGCTGATACACTTATATAACAGCTTTCATACTTGTTACAACTACATAGTGTGTACACATAGTGGGTATGGTTATATTTAACTCTTTGAGTCCCAGGGGGTTAAGCATCACAGGCCCAAGGGTTAGTCAAGAAAGACTAAAATTGGCGCATCTTGCGTTCATTGGGCTTCTAGGTAGGAATCTATGAACGTATGACGCGCTCCTTGGGACTCTAAAAGTTTTTTTTTAAAGTTTTTTTTTCATTAAATATTGTTAGTGATGAAAATATTCAGTTTTTTCATTGTGATGACATAATACAAGGGAAAGTCAATAAGTAAGTCACAAATGGTTGTGGGATGGCAGGAAAATCTAGCTGATGGTTTCTAAAGGTGTCATTAGGTAACAGCAACATTGAACTTTATGTCTCCATTCGCTAGGTGGAGCTAGGTGTTGCATGCACATTCACAACACCTTGCCAAAAGTATTTTGTAGGGTGATAATCTGTTAAATGCTAAGTCTGGAATGATCTTTGACTGGTTTTGGAAGTGGGATTAGGTAGGTGTGGATCCCATCCTGGGGTACTGAAGCTGTTCTGATGCTGTGGTTGAAATGAAAAGCCATCTCCTCCTTCAAGTCTTCACCACTTATGCTCTTTATGTGGGCATACCTGACTCCATCTGGCACTGGCACAGTGTCTTTTGTTTTTTGCAATATATATTTTATTTCCTTCACCCTAAGGATATCCTGAAAATAGTTATCATTTATATTACTGGATTGCAGAGTGTCTGTGTTTTTTTTAATTTTTTTATGATGCACATTATTGGTGTCTTAAACAGAAATCATCTGGCAGTGGATTACGCTATGAATACTTAATTCCTGCCTTTTTTTTCTGTCTAGGTTCATGTTCTCAGACCCAGTCGAGAATGAAGATGGAGATTTTAAGGGAAAGGATGACCTTGAACATCGTAAATTTTCCGAACAGGAGAGAAATCGAGTAACTTGGAACATGGAAAGAAGATTTTACTTACAGCGGTCTGCTCTTAAAAAGTTAGTCATTCATCCTGCCAGTTTGCATTTTTTTTAAAAATAACAGTGACATTTTCTTAAATTAAACAATTTATTATCTTTTTATATAGTGCCAGTTTAACTTATAGCTGTGACCCTGGACAATTAATAAATAAGCCAAACAATTTCTTGAGGATTCAGGGATGTGGTTTTACAGAAGAATTCTTAGAATTCCTTGGTCCAACAAAAATGAGCAATCCAAAGTGTCTTTTTTTTTTTACAAAAAGAGGTGAAGGCTTGAAGACAACTTATCACAGACATCAGAAAGAGACAGTCATAATTTCTTTGGACAGGTTATGAGAAGAAAGAAACTGGAACATGTTCTGACCACTGGAAAGATCTCTGGAGACAGAGGAGGATGACATGAGACAATTCTTGGCAGCAATTTGTCATCGAGAGGTATTAACATACAAACTAATACGCTGTTGAAGATCGCTTATTGTGGAGAGGCATGATTGGCCTCACCAGACGGCAAGGCACTTGATGATGAGGATAATGATGATGATTTTAGCCTTATCACTTGCAAAGTTGTAGCTGCAACTTTTTCTGCACATAAACGTGTGTGCTGAAGGAAGGAATGTTTAGTTGTGGGGAAAATTAAAAGTGAGATCTTCAGGTAAAAATTAACATAGAGAAGGCTCACCTTTATCATCTTGTAATGTATTTTAGTACTTTGTATATTTGGTTAATAAATAATAAAGAAATCTGCCCTCCTCATTTGTCCCTTTCTCCTTGTATTAAGTCTTTGACCGCAAGATGCCACTAAACCGGCACGTGCGTCCATGACCTCATCTCATAAGTGCACTGGGGGCTTTTTTCCAGTGTCCTGCCCCTCAAAAGTCTAGTTTATAACACTTAGTTCTGCTTCCACTTGCACAGTGTTTAGGAGGATCAGATATGATTATTTTTGCTGAAAAGTAGTTGAGGGGGTTTTTGTGTGAAAAAATGGCTTTTTAATGCTGTTATGTCATCATATGTTTACCCTGAGCTTTCATATTATTTTGCTGATGAGGTCTTATGGTTATGGTATGTGTTACTCAGTTCATTTTCTTTAACCCAGGGAATATAATTCATTTAATTGTGTAACCCTTTTTTTTTTTAATTACCAGTTTCCAAGACACAATAACAAAGAATTACTACTGGCCTGTTGAGGTCATTCGACTTCCACACACCTCAACAACAAAGGGCAAGAAGGTCAGTTTGCTTTTATTTGTTTACTAGGAGGTCATCTATTACAATTACACTTGTCCTGCCACTGTCGGTAGTGAGGCTGATGATTTTTGCAGCTAGCAGAAATACTAACACACAGCTTTTGCTACACTTTCTTACAACCTCTGTCTGCACATACAACCGCTTCATCACATGCACACACACACACACACACACACACACACACACCTTTGCTACACTCTCTTACAATCTCTGTCTGCACATGCAACCCCTTCCACACACACACACACACACACACAGACATACATACGAACACATACTCTCTCTGCATACATGTACACACAACCCCCTTCCACAGACATACACACAAATGAGCTCTTGTTGTGTTTAGACACACACAACTCCTTCCACACACAGCCTTTCTCTGCACATGCACACACACAACTTTGTCGATACACGTCTGTCTGCACACGGGCACACACAAACCCTTTCACCCACAACCTTTCTCTGCACACGCGCAAACTCAACTTTCTCCATATATCCACACAACTTCTGTCTACACATAAGCACACACAACCTTTCTCTTTACACACATACACACAACGTCCTTCATACCTGCACGCACAACTTCCTCCATACACTCACACAACTTCTCACTGCACACAGGCACACACAACCACTTCCACACAGGAATTGTAGAAAAAGAAGTACAAAGTAAAAGATCATGTTGTTTGTTTCTTACTTACAGGAAGAAGAGTCAAGCCTAGCATTCCATGGCCTTGCTTTGATTAACCTGAGTTCTCTCCTCTATCCTGGAGGTATGTGACTGTTTGTGATGATGAAACAATTTGGGTCATAACCCCCCCACCCCCTTTCCGCACCCCTGCGCTCTTCTTCTTCTTTGCGTTACCCGGCTTTAAACTCCGGCAGACAGTACAGGTTGTTTGTCAATTTCTGGACTCTAGCCCTCTTTTAGAAACAGAGTGTTCCGTGCACATCCGTTTTGCAGGTCTGACTCATTTGGATGCAGACTGTTGGTTCCTTGCCTCTCGGGCAGATGTACTCTGACTTCAAAGGAAGCTTCCATTTAGTAGACTTTTACGACATGACTGCTTTTTGGCAGGCAGTGGGTCTCTTCTTCTTATTTTTCCCCACAATAAGGCCCTGGAACCCACATAGTAAACCCCAATCCTTTTTTTTTTATACTCACTATGCTCACATTTTTGCCTATTAAATGCTGAGCAGAGGCAAACAGTACCAGTGTAATTTATTACGCCTTCTAAGAACAGGCACACTTGGCCACATATCAGCATTTACGAGTCTGTGCCACAACCAGAAGTGATTAGATTTTGTCTTCTTGATATGATACAGTTAAAAGACAATACTGATATTCCCAAGCATGGGTGGCTCTTGTGCCAGCCTGATTTAAAGATTTTTCATTTCCTGTAATAAATGGTAAAGGTTAAAACCATGCCCCAGTAAATGTGAAGTCACCTTCTGATCCTCTCTAGCAGAATCTGATACTGAAATAATAACTAATATGATAACTAATATGTTAACTAATGTGATAACTAATATGATAACTAATGTGATAACTAAAATGTTAACTAATGTGATAACTAATATAACTAATGTGATAACTTATATGTTAACTAATGTGATAACTAATATGTTAACTAATGTGATAACTAATATGTTAACTAATGTGATAACTAATATAACTAATGTGATAACTTATATGATAACTAATGTGATAACTAATATGATAACTAATGTGATAACTAATATGTTAACTAATGTGATAAATAATATGATAACTAGTGTGATAACTAATATGTTAACTAATGTGATAACTAATATGATAACTAATGTGATAACTAATATGATAACTAATGTGATAACTAATATGTTAACTAATGTGATAACTAATATGTTAACTAATGTGATAAATAATGTGATAACTAATATGATAACTAATGTGATAAATTTGAGAATTCCATATCCATTTATTGCAGCAGAGTCTCAAGCATTTGTGCAAATTCTTTATTTTTTAATTTGTTTCAGTTTCCAGAGTCAAAGGAGCATTCCGAGTTATAGGTTTTTCTGAAACTGTGCTGGCAGAAAAAGTAAGTATTTCTTTGTTCATATATTTTTGTAAATATATATGCAGTTTCGTTACCTTTTTTTTTTATATTCACATGGTTGAATAAATTTACTGTTTGAGAAAAGCACACTAACACGTGGTTTTCGCAAATTGAAGAGAACATATAAATGGACACCAGAAAACTTCCTGGGAAATGAAAGCAGCCAGCATTATATTGATCATGTGACACATTGAATGCCAACTGGTTGGTGTATAAAAATTAGGACAGTACCAAATAATCCCCTGATTTTAGGGCAGAGAAATTGGTTGTTGACCTGTTATTTTCTTTCACGTATGCATGCTAGGTCAGCAGCTAGATTCTTGTCTGTTGACCTGTTATTTTCTTTCACGCATGCATGCATGGTAGGTCAGCAGCTAGATGCTTGTCTGTTGACCTGTTATTTTCTTTCACGTATGCATGGTAGGTCAGCAGCTAGATGCTTGTCTGTTGACCTGAAGGTCTTAGTTTCAAATCATTGGTTCAGATCATTAAAACAAATATTGGCTTCCAGGTCTATGAAAAGGGTTTATGAAAAGGGTCCGTGAAAAGGGTCCATGAAATGGATCCGTGAAAAGGGTCTATGAAATAGATCCATGAAAAGGGTTTGTGAAAAGGGTCCATGAAATGGATCCATAAAAAGGGTTTGTGAAAAGGGTCCGTGAAATGGATCCATGAAAAGGGTTTATGAAAAGTGTCCATGAAAAGGACCTGAGTTTTGCATGTACGTCCGTTTTACTGGCTTAATTGTATGCACGATTGTTCCTAGTCTCTCAGTCAGATGCACTGCCACTTCGAAGGGCACTCCCAATTAGTCGACCCTTACAAATTTTTTTTATTTTTTTATTTTGTTTAAGATAGGCAGTAGGTCTATTCTTATTCCCCTCCCCCCTGGGTAGCAGAAGAAGCAGCCATCACATGCAGTAATTGTTTCAGACTCTGAACATGATTCAAAAAGTTGCAGAAGTTAGTTTACAATCTGGGTAGAAAGCATTCAGAAGTCGCAGTTAACCTCCATCACCTGGATCTATACACCTGGGTATGTGAGAGTAAAAGGTAATGAAAGAACTGACCAGCTGGCAAGTACTCCACCAGTGCAGACGGGAAAAAAGCATGGACAGGGCTGATGTAATTAACAATGTAAAGACTAGTACGGTCATGATGAACCATTGATGCTAACATGATTGCTTGACCTGGGAGTAAAGCTTGATAAAGCATGTCTGTGCCAACTTCAAGGCCGAGATAGGAGACACTGTCGTTAACTTCTCATGGGAACAATCTATAAAGGTACCTTGAAGTGCCTGCTGCGTTGGAGGACTGAGCACATGGGAATGCAAAGTGGGCAGTGATGTTGATTGTGATAACATGACTTGTATTTGCATACTACACACACACACACACACACACACACACACATGCAGGCACATACACACGCACACATACACGCAGGCACGCACATATTCACACATATACGCATGCATGCTCACACTCACACACTCTCACACACACACACAAACTCACTCAATCACTCACTCACTCTGACATACTCTATCTCATTCCAACAGACAGACACACACATGTGCACACACACACACACACGCACAGAGATATATACATACATAGTCACACAGACAGATACACAGACACATAGTCACACACATGGACACAGAAATAATAGAGAGGGAGAGAGAGAGAAATGTGACTTTTACATTGACTTTAATTGTTTAATATTGTTTCTGCCAGACAAAGAGACAGGGTGGAGTTGTTGAAGACGCTGTCAAGTTTTCTAGCACCTCACCACACAAGTACAGTGCCGCTTCTACACACAGAAAACTGACCAAGAATATGGACAATAAAGACTCCAAAAAAGTAATCAAGATATTAAACTATTTCTTCTTCACTTTCTACTTCTTCAGCGTCACTCTTAAATGGGCTTTTGGCATAGTGTGTTTTAGTTAACAGCTTAGTTAGTTAGTCTTTCCTCTTGAGCCTAGGGCCGCACATAGGGCAGAGATCATAGCTCTCCATGTCGGGCAGTTCGTTACCACCTGGATGCTCGTTAGGCCCATGGTTGAGCCTTCTCTGATGATGGTTCTACGCAGGGTTTTCTTGATTTTTCCAGTTTTGTTTTCCCTTCCGGTGTCCATTTGAGGGCTTGATGGGGAAGTCTGTTCTTATCTATTCTGAGTGCAGGGCCGATGCAGTTAACAGCTAGGCTGCAATATACACACTTATCACCCCTACACATCCATTTTCAGCAAAACCCTATTTGTCGCTTCTTATAGTAAGCATTTTAGAAGGCACCGGGTCCGTTTTTTCTTCTCCAAAATGAGGCTGCAGAACCCATGCGGGGAGATTGGTTATTATTTTTATTTCTACACAAAATAATAATTGTATTAAAAGTAAAGAACCCTTTTCCACGCCTTCAGGCATATTGGGCATATAGGGTTAGACGTATATTTTAAAGACTAATTGGCACTAGGTGTGTGATGTAGTCAGCATCATGCCGGCCACCATTACTTCCCAGGACTAAACCTGGTTTCCTCTCAAGGCTGAGTCAACCTGGGAGCCAAGGTCATTTTGATAATTGAATTACACAGGATAAATTCAGAAAGACAAAGAAATTAGATAAATGTCAGGACAAATTCTTGTTTCAATACAAATCACACAAAAAGAAGATGACAGTTTTCTCCCCTTGTTGGGTGACAGTTTTCTCCCCTTGTTGGATGACAGTATTCTCCCCTTGTTAGTTCCATTTTTTTTAGGGGGGAAGAGGAGGGGGGAAATAGACCCACTGCCTCCCTATAAAAACATGTCCGAACAATAGGGTGACTAAGAAGGAATTTTTTCACTGAAGGTCGGAATACATCTGGGTGAGAGATGAGGAACCTGCAGTCTGCATACAAGTAAGCAAGATCTATACGACGGATATGCAGACAGAATTCAAATTCTGGAATGACACTCAAGTCCAGAAGTGGACAAACATCCAGAACTTTCTACTGGAATTTACAGTTGATGAATACTAAGAAGAAGCAGAAGAAACAAAAGAAGAAGAAAATGACACCACTTTAAAAATACAAATATGTTGTCTTCCTTTTGTAACATAAAATTTTTTTAAATTGTATGTGCATCTTGTATCTAGGAACTGTCACTCTATAGGTCAGTAATACACAGAGAAATCTTTTTCTCACATCAGTTGACAAAGATATATTCTATAGATTATTCAATATCCTCATCCTGTAAACTAATAAGTGTTTGCTTCTGACAGTAGTTGGCTGTTGCATTTTTCTCCATATATAGACTAACAGGATATAGAAGTTCCATCACCTGGCTGCTGAGTTGAATGCATAGCATGACACTGTGAGCTTTGAATTTTAATTGGAATGCCTTTTAGCTGTGCCTGAGTTGGTAATGGCCTTGTCAGTTTTTTTCACAAGGGACAGTCAAGTCATGGACATACAGTGTGATTTTCATCTTCACAGGAACAAAGCAATGGTTGGGTGACCTGTTTGCTATGAAGTTTGAACTGCAGTTACCTGATTAACTGATTATTTAAACTTTGCTTGTGCTATTCTGTACTTCTTCTTCTTCTTTTTCTTCTTCTTCTTCTTCTTTTTCTTCTTCTTCTTCTTTTTCTTCTTCTTCTTCTTCTTCTTCTTTTCCTTCTTCTTCTTCTTCTTCTCCTCCTCCTCCTCCTCCTTCTCCCCCTTTTCTTTTTCTTCTTCTTCTTTTTCTTCTTCGTCTTCTTCTTTTCCTCTTCTTCTTCTTCTTCTTCTTCTTCTTCTTCTTCTTCTTCTTCTTCTTCTTCTTCTTCTTCTTCTTCTTTCTTCTTCTTCTTCTTCTTCTTCTTCTTCTTCTTCTTCTTCTTCTTCTTCTTCTTCTTCTTCTTCTTCTTCTTCTTCTTCTTCTTTTTCTTCTTCTTCTTTTTCTTCTTCTTCTTCTTCTTCTTCTTCTTCTTCTTCTTCTACTTCTTCTTTCTCTTCTTCTTTTCTTTCTCATCCTCTTTTTTTTTTCTTCTCCTTCTCTTTCTCATCCTCTTTTTTTCTTTTCCTTCTCCTTCTTCTTCTCCTCCTCCTCCTTTTCTTCTTCTTCTTCTTCTTCTTCTTCTTCTTCTTCTTCCTCTTTTTTTCTTCTTCTTCTCTTCTTCTACAACATTCCGAGCTTTTGAGGATCATTGCTGTAGATATCACACACCTCTATTCATCTTTGTAATTGGCCTTCTCTTTCTAGTTGGGGACTCCAAGGGTTTGTAGGTCTGTTTGTTTAGTCTCTCCATGGACTTTTTGGGGTCTGCCTCATGGTCTCCTCCACCTCTTGTTTATAAACAGTTTTTGTCTTTCTATTGCCTGCTATACTTTCCCTATGCCACAGCCTTATCCAGGCAGAATGTTGTTTGTTAGCCCTCATGATGCCAGTAATTCTGCATTCAACACCCTTAATATATCTTCTATCTATTGTTATTAGAGTGCCTAGATATTTAACATATTGATTTGGCAAACAGGAAACCATTATAAAAATTTAATTTACTCTCATAAAAGTGGCCATTTATACAATAATTGAAATGTTGGTTGAGAGGAACTACTTTCTTACACCGCAAAGTTAAAGAATTCCTTTACCAGCCATCTGCAATGGCTTTTTGTTTTTTATGCAAAAAAAATGTGTAATACTTGAATTGACTTGGGGATTGCTAAGAGTTAATGTTCTCTTTGTTGTCTAGCAACAGCTGATTAGTCCTTCATATGTGAGCCACTGTTGTTGATACACAATGAAATTTTCTTTTCATGCTTTAGTCCATTTATGGTTTGTTTTTTCTTGTGTTCCTGTTTTTTAATATTACTGCTTTAATTCTGTTCATATTTAATAGTTTTTGTTGTTTGATATCCAAGTTGTTCTCTTGAAGAATCTTTTAAAAGAATGAGAAAACTTTGTTATAGTCTTAAACATTCATTTACAAGAATTACTTACACATAGTTTCCATCACATGTATTTTACAAGAATGAGACACTTGTATTGTGCCCATAAAGATTCTTTACAAGGTTGAAATACATGAAATGAGGAAATATTTGTTTCTAAAAAGATTCTTTGAGAGTCATCGTGGCAGAGCGGCTAGACGCGCGTCGCAGATGGGAAGGTCGTGGGTTCGCTTTCTGCCAGAGCCGGACTTTTCTTCAAAAATGACCTTGGCTCACAGGTAGACCCAGCCTTGAGTGGGTACCGGGTGCAGTCCCGGGAAGTAGAGGCGGCCGGCCTGATGCTGACCACATCACCCGTCTTGTGCCATTGGACTATAAAATATAGGTCTAGCTTTATATGCCCTATACTCCTAAAGGCGTGGAAAAGGGTCCTTTACTTTTTACTTTTTTACTTATAAAGATTCTTTACAAGACTGATATACATGAAATGCTGAAATATTAGTTTCTATAAAGATACTTTACAGGGTTTAAATACATGAAATGCTGAAATATTAGTTTCTATAAAGATACTTTACAGGGTTTAAATACATGAAATGCTGAAATATTAGTTTCTATAAAGATACTTTACAGGGTTTAAATACATGAAATGCTGAAATATTAGTTTCTATAAAGATACTTTACAGGGTTTAAATACATGAAATGCTGAAATATTAGTTTCTATAAAGATACTTTACAGGGTTTAAATACATGAAATGCTGAAATATTAGTTTCTATAAAGATACTTTACAGGGTTTAAATACATGAAATGAGGAAATATTTGTTTCTATAAAGATACTTTACAGGGTTTAAATACATGAAATGAGGAAATATTTGTTTCTATAAAGATACTTTACAAGGTTGAAATACATGAAATGAGGAAATATTTGTTTCTATAAAGATACTTTACAAAGTTGAAATACATGAAATGAGGAAATATTTGTTTCTATAAAGATACTTTACAAAGTTGAAATACATGAAATGAGGAAATATTTGTTTCTATAAAGATTTTTTACAAAGTTGAAATACATGAAATGAGGAAATATTTGTTTCTATAAAGATACTTTACAAAGTTGAAATACATGAAATGAGGAAATATTTGTTTCTATAGAGATTCTTTACAAGGTTGAAATACATGAAATGAGGAAATATTTGTTTCTATAAAGATTTTTTACAAAGTTGAAATACATAAAATGAGGAAATATTTGATTCTATAAAGATACTTTACAAAGTTGAAATACATGAAATAAGGAAATATTTGTTTCTATAAAGATTTTTTACAAAGTTGAAATATCTATGATGAGAAAGTCTAGGTTTCTGTAAACCATTCTTTGATAATACAGTAATATCATGAAAAACATAAACATGATGGTAAAAATATGTTTACTGAAAAGATTGTGTATGATCTGTTCTTCTGTACAAATGAATAATGGAATGGTGAAGACACAATCATTCTTTGTCAGTTGAGATGAGAAAAAGAATTCTTAAAAGCCATATAAATCTTGTCTTGATATATGGAAGTGAATCATGGACAGTTGGTAAATAAGCGAAAACTTATTTGGAAGATGCGGAGATGTGGTTTAATAGGTGAATTATATGAATACCCTGGACAGATAAAAACAGTAATGAAGATGTCTTGAAAGAAACTGACCCACGAAGAGAACTGATTGTGCACATCAGAAAGAGACAATCTACATTCTTTGGTCATGTGATGAGAAGGAGAAAACTTGATTACATCGTGATAGTAGGAAAGTTGGAGGGGAAAAGAGGTAGAGGGAGACGGGTAGAAAAGATGCTGGACAGTTTGACATCATGGCATGGAGGATCATCTCTGTTAGAGTTGATTGAAAGTACACCAGACAGAAGGTTATGGATAGACATGACTACCAACGCTATATGGCATGGACTTTAAGAAGAAGGCATTGGAAGCATAAAAGATGTGATTTTTTAGAAGAATTTGGGGAATACATTCACAGAAAAAGCATTTGCTGACGTACTGACAACTTTAGCTTTTTTTTTTTCTTCCTTTTTTATTGTGGCCAGACAAGATCACAAGTGGAGAATTGAGGAGGAAAACGAAATATTCATCACTGGCAGACTTTATCAAAAGGAAGAAATGGGAGATCACTTGGACATGACTGACTGATGGACTTTATACCCCACCAGGACATCACACAAGCGATAAACACCCAATGACACATTGTGCCACCATGTGGGTGAGGATCACAGTGGAGAGGTCCCAGAAACCGTGTTCAGCCTTTAGGCCATATTTATAGCTAGGCTATATTACGGCCCCTGGCAAGAGCCAGAGTAGGGCTTCAAATGACGAAAAATTTCATCCTTAAAAGGACAAGAAGATTGTCCTAAAGGCTTGGAAAAGGGTCCTTTACTTTTACTTTACTTCCTTGGACATGTTTGTAGAATGTCTTGTGTAACACCCTGGCAAGGACAGTTTTCCAATGGATGGCAGGTGGGAATAGGAGACGCAGACAGCTTAAGGAAGCCTGTAGATGGGCAGTAGAAAGGTAAATGTGGGATTATAAAAAGAGCAGGGATACCATAGGCTGAACAGCAGCAGCCCGACAGCAAGGGAGATCACTATGAAAGCACTGTGTGTCAACAGCAACATCAATAAGATGTAGAACAGAATAGTTGTTTCTTACTGACTACTTATCTTTCAGTCCCAAACAGTTATTTAAATTCTGTCTACCCCAAAGAGTTGAGGATAAAAGAAATAACAGTCTATTAACCCTACTGATATCAGTAATTCCACATTTAAATCTTTAACATTTTCTTCATCTGTTGTTATAAAAGTAAAAGTAAGTAAAGTAAAGTAAAGATATTTTTACACGCCCTTAGGCGCATCGGGCATATGGGAAGAGCACCCATATCGGCACTCGGTGGGTAATGTGGTCAGCATTACACCAGCCGTCCTTACTTTCCCAGGACAGCCCATCCTGGTACCCATTTGAGGCTGGGTCGACCTGCGACATCCCATACCACGATAAAAATCCACGCCTGTTATAAAAGTAGCTAGATTTATAACATGACATAAGCGTCGTCCCCATGTGGGATGCCATTTTTTGTTATTTTTAAGCCCCACCCTGGCTTTTGCCGGAGGCCTTTAATATAGCTGGACCTTAAATATGGCTGAACGGGGTTTCCGGGACCTCTCAACGGGTGATCCTCATCCGCATGGTGGCACTTTGTATCACTGGGTGTTTATCGATTGTGTGATGTTTTGGTGGGGTACAACTTACCTACCTACCTAACATGACATTCTAGTCAATTATTAAAATCTGCCTGACTGGACAACTTATAATCTGCTCAATCTGACAGTTTTTTATTTATTATCAGTTGACCGCTTCTCGGCCTATTGGCTAAGATCAAAGTGTATCTCTGCTGCACCTGGTCTGGCCAAAAGGGCCGAGATCGGTCCGGACCACATGGGTGTAACCTAAACGGCAAGAGCTATCTCAAAAAGGAAATTCTCTGCCAGGCGGTTTCCCCATGGGGAGACCGACCTGGCGGCCCCCCCAAAAAAATTTGCCTAGCTGTTGTTGAGACCAAACTGTAAAGCTCTTTTGATTACATAAATCTGTCACAGACTAATCAGCTGAGGTCAGATACGGCCCTAGACGTGGACACAATGACTGCGATAACTGCAGAAGGTCAGCAGTACACGGACGCCAAGTCTTACATCATGATTGAATTCTGCCTGGATAAGCCACTTATTCCCAAGCGAACTACTGAAGCCTTGATAAAAAGGTAAGTGTGTGTGTTTTTGTGAGGATAGCAACGTATTATAACTTTTATGAAGAAGTTAGTGTGTATGTTTTTGTGAGGATAGCAAAGTATTATAAATTTTATAAAGAAGTAAGTGTGTGTGTTTTTGTGGGGATAGCAAAGTATTATAAGTTTTATAAAGAAGTGAGTGTGTATGTTTTTGTGAGGATAGCAAAGTATTATAACTTTTATAAAGAAGTAAGTGTGTGTGTTTTTGTGAGGATAGCAAAGTATTATAACTTTTATAAAGAAGTAAGTGTGTGTGTTTTTGTGGGGATAGCAAAGTATTATAACTTTTATAAAGAAGTGAGTGTGTGTGTTTTTGTGAGGATAGCAAAGTATTATAACTTTTATAAAGAAGTAAGTGTGTGTGTTTTTGTGAGGATAGCAAAGTATTATAACTTTTATAAAGAAGTAAGTGTGTGTGTTTTTGTAAGGATAGCAAAGTATTATAACTTTTATAAAGAAGTAAGTTTGTATGTTTTTGTGAGGATAGCAAAGTATTATAACTTTTATAAAGAAGTAAGTGTGTGTGTTTTTGTGAGGATAGCAAAGTATTATAACTTTATAAAGAAGTAAGTTTGTGTGTTTTTGTAAGGATAGCAAAGTATTATAACTTTTATGAAGAAGTTAGTGTGTGTGTTTTTGTGAGGATAGCAAAGTATTATAACTTTTATAAGGAAGTAAGTGCGTGTGTTTTTGTGAGGATAGCAAAGTATTATAACTTTTATAAAGAAGTAAGTGTGTGTGTTTTTGTGGGGATAGCAAAGTATTATAACTTTTATAAAGAAGTGAGTGTGTGTGTTTTTGTGAGGATAGCAAAGTATTATAACTTTTATAAAGAAGTAAGTGTGTGTGTTTTTGTGAGGATAGCAAAGTATTATAACTTTTATAAAGAAGTAAGTGTGTGTGTTTTTGTAAGGATAGCAAAGTATTATAACTTTTATAAAGAAGTAAGTTTGTATGTTTTTGTGAGGATAGCAAAGTATTATAACTTTTATAAAGAAGTAAGTGTGTGTGTTTTTGTGAGGATAGCAAAGTATTATAACTTTATAAAGAAGTAAGTTTGTGTGTTTTTGTAAGGATAGCAAAGTATTATAACTTTTATGAAGAAGTTAGTGTGTGTGTTTTTGTGAGGATAGCAAAGTATTATAACTTTTATAAGGAAGTAAGTGCGTGTGTTTTTGTGAGGATAGCAAAGTATTATAACTTTTATAAAGAAGTAAGTTTGTGTGTTTTTGTAAGGATAGCAAAGTATTATAACTTTTATAAAGAAGTTAGTGTGTGTGTTTTTGTAAGGATAGCAAAGTATTATAACTTTTATAAAGAAGTAAGTTTGTGTGTTTTTGTAAGGATAGCAAAGTATTATAACTTTTATAAAGAAGTTAGTGTGTGTGTTTTTGTAAGGATAGCAAAGTATTATAACTTTTATAAAGAAGTAAGTTTGTGTGTTTTTGTAAGGATAGCAAAGTATTATAACTTTTATAAAGAAGTTAGTGTGTGTGTTTTTGTGAGGATGGCAATAGTGATTAGTAAGGATCATCAGCACAGAACTCTGGATAGATCTGTAGTTGCTCCAGTCACCTCAGAAGTTCCACAAACATAAAATGACTGATGACGCATGTTAAGAAGAAAAGTGTGCTATTTACGTTTTCTGCCCCAGAAAGAGAGAGACTTCCCTTACCATTCATGATTCGCCAAGTCACAGGACTTATGTTGCTGGGGTCTCGTGCTTAGTGACCGGCTACCAGTACAAAGCATTTTACTAGTTTTTGTTACCGGCCAGTGATATCGCATGTTGAATATTCCAGGATGTAAGCGCTTTTAACGGTTCCAAAATGTGCATAACTGGACCTCACCCTAACACCCCCACGTCCCAAGAGAGAGTGCAGCCTACATCCCACAACCACATGCAGCCTAGGTCGCACTGTATGCAGTGTATATTATAGGCTGCATGCAGATTTGGGTCGTAGGGTGTTGGTATTAGGGCCAGTTCTGCATGTATCGGAATTGTATCCCCGGCCAGTGACAAAAGGCGACACCTCCTCAACATAGGACAAGCCTGCCACACGGCGACCCGTGAATGGCACGGGAAGTGACTCTCTTTCTGGGATAGAAAACATAAATAGAACCCAACACAAGTTAGTTGTGCATCCTTTACAGGACATTGCAGAACCAACCCCAGCATTTTTTGGCTGTTGTGGTTTTTCTTGGAAAATTTTATGTTCAGTAGTTTGCCATAGCTTTCTAAATGGTCAGCTCTCACTACCACAGTTGAAACCAAGATAAGACGTTCTGCTGACAAATCGTCTGCAGCTGGGATCGAACCCAGCACCCCAGCATTTTGAAGCGTGTTTGCAATGCCTAAGCCAGAGACACTTAGATGCTTGTTATAATTATCAAAGATCCCCTTGGTAAAATGTTTATTCCTTGCTGCTCCAGGTTGTATTCCCATATTCATCAGCCCTGATAGAGATTTGAATGCATGGCCTTTGCCATATTCTTCATCTTCGCAAGGATAGCAATGTATTTAGCCATAATAAAACGAATGTGATAGAGAAGATGTTCCCTTCAAGAAGGACTGTTACTGGTTTCATCGAAACTGAGACTGTGCTTGCTGCTGAAAATGGGGCCTGAGCACTTATGCAAATGTCCTGAGTGCTGTGATGTTAGTTCTTAACTTATAATTCACAATCCTTAAAAATGTGGTGTTTTTTTTGCGGACAGCAATCTATTATAACTTTGATAAAGAAGTAAGTGTGTGTGTGTGTGCGCACGCATATTTTTGGTTTCGGTTTTTTTTTGGGGGGGGGGGGAGAGGGGATGGCAATTTCTAATGTAGAGCAGACATTTTTTTTGTAATCTGTGCCATCTGATGCTGATTATCAGGTATTGTCACTACATTTTGTCTCATTTACTGCCAATAATTTCTGGTACAAGTGTTTCTCTATGCTATGATGCTAAATTGTCTAACATTCTCTTTCTTGTTCTCCCTGTTGTCTCTCTTTACCTCCAGCCATCTGGTTTTAATGATGGGCTTCTTCTGCCATTTTATATTAAAAAGGAGAAAACCAAATAGATTGCTGCTTAAACTAATTTCAAATTGAAGAATCTTCCCTCAAAAGAATCTTTAAAGAATGTGTGGTTCTGGTATGAACACATATTTGGAGGCTAATTATTCATTTCAAGGTTTTCTTCATTGCACATTGGGCATACCCATAAGTGATTGGATCTTTTCCCAAGCATTCAGAAGCTCACTGTACGAAGGAATTTATAGACTGTAGTATGACTCTGCAAGTGTGATTTATGAGAGGAGGCTGATGCGTCCATGGAGCTATCTATGTGTCAAAAAATTGTATCTTTTACAAGCCAAAGTGGTTATCATAGTCACAACAGTATGATAAACAAACTGTGTACTGAATGGCACTCATAGATGCAGCAGAAATAACTAGAAATAGGAGGGCACACTGGGCAACAAACAAGTCAAAAGTTATAGTCACCACACGAGGGGTCAAACCTGTCGTCTCCAGATGACAACAGCACCTCACTGCAGGAAAAAGTCATCTTTGGCACATTGCCAGCTAGACACTCTTAAACCCTTTTACCCTAGGAACACTAAAAAGAAATAGGTCATGACCTATTGGGATTCCATTAAAAAATCCTGTAACAAAACAATTTCACACAGGACAGGTCATTAATTAATTTGGTAAACATTTATTTAACTACATTTTTTTTTTTCGAAATAAATAGAGATATTTGAAGGGAGAAATCAGTAAAGAGGAACGTGGTGACACATTCAATTGAATATATTTCCTTGGGCCTTAAAAACCATATATATTGGATGACTCATGCCGTAATCCCTTAACCTCTGTCATTGAAGCTACAGGAAAATTAGACGTCTGATTGGTTTTAATCAAAGCATTTGGTTTGAAGAAAAACCTCTAAATGCTATTATTAGTTAATGTATTCATATCTTTGCCTCCTAAATGTTTGCGCCAATGCAAAAGCAGCCAATATTATTATCCTTGCCTCTTGTAAACAGGTCACTATAGACAAGTAAAACAAAAGAGACATTTACTGGGAATTTTACCCAAATTGAAGTGTCGGTTTTGCAGCTTTTGGGGGTGAAAGGGTTCATTTAATGGTTCCCAGCTGATTTGTTATGGTATAAGAAGTGATTTCACTTTTATTTTAAACAATTTAAACCCTTTTTGTTTCAAATTTCAGAGTCGCAGAACTGATACCTCCTCGCCCGTTATATCCAAAAAGAACTGACAGAGCTCAGAAGGTGTTTGTTTCTTATTATCTTCAACATTATCTTCAACATTATCTTCAACATTATCTTCAACATTATCTTCAACATTATCTTCAACACTATCTTCAACATTATCTTCAACATTATCTTCAACATTATCTTCAACATTATCTTCAACATGATCTTCAACATTATCTTCAACATTATCTTCAACATTATCTTCAACATTATCTTCAACATTATCTTCAACATTATCTTCAACACTATCTTCAACATTATCTTCAACATTATCTTCAACATTATCTTCAACACTATCTTCAACATTATCTTCAACATTATCTTCAACATTATCTTCAGCATGAAATTGGGAATCATCTTTTATACAGGGAATGTGTTAAAAATATTTGTTTCTCAGTCTGGGCTAAAGAAATAGTGGTCGTCTTATAAATGGAAGGATTGTATACATATGTGTAAGGATCTATGCACATGTATACATATGTGTAAGGATCTATGCACATGTATACATATGTGTAAGGATCTATGCACATGTATACATATGTGTAAGGATCTATGCACATGTATACATATGTGTAAGGATCTATGCACATGTATACATATGTGTAAGGATCTATGCACATGTATATATATGTGTGTGTGTGTGTGTGTGTGCATGCGTGTGTGTATGTGTGAGTGTGTGTGTGTGTGTGTGCATGTTATAAACCCTTTATTTCAGTGCATGCATTTATGATCTGTGCTTTTGTGGTTTTTACTTGATATTCAGATTGTGTTTATGAACATAATATGTTCTATTGGTAAAATAAAATTCAGTCTGAAAGAGTGTTAGATGCATTATTAGGGGGTAACGCATCCTCCCAAGCGCCCAGGGTGCTTGACTTGCTCCAGTCACATACAAGAGCTCCCTCAGACAACAAAACAACTATTCGGTTCCTACAGGAGAGCAAGAAGAGGCCAGTCCAAACAAGAGCACCACTATAATCAAGGCACACCCAACAAGCTAACATGTCCTTGAGTAACCACAAACGTTGTCTACAAATACGGTAACATAATACACCACGCCAGGTATGATTCTTCTAGTGCGATCAGTCTTTTTATTGTTAGCGAACACAAACTGGTATAAAACAATGTCCGCTCTTAAAAAACTTTGTCTCATGCGTCAAGTAGCGTGGACTTTCTGTCATCATCATCATCTAGCAGCTTTATGACTAGCCTAAGCGATCACACCTCTGACCTCTTGTACAATTGATCAACAAAGTGAGTTCAGCACACAACAAAGAAAGCGTTTGTAAGAGCCAAATGTAAGAGAGACCTGTTTGTTGACCCTTTGAAAATAAAGTTTGTTCATTCATTTGTTCTTTCCATGTCATAATGTCATAAAAATGTTACACCTTTCCTCTTTCACTCTACAGGCGGTGGAAGACTATCATGCCCAAGTAGCCATTATAGCGGAGATTGTTTTAGACAATTTTAGGTAATCTTGTTTACTGAACTCTAGTTGAAAACTGGTATAAACAGTTGAAAACTGGTTAAACAAAGATTGTTTTAGATTATTATTGCAATTTTGTTCATTGAACTGGAGTTTAGTATTACCAGAAAGATTTTTAGATTTCATGAAATCTCATCCATTGTATTCATTGTCAGTCCAACCTCTAAAGTAACTGGTCACCTCATAGTCACTCAGCTCCTGGGCCAGCAAGAACCACACAGAATGCCCAACATTGTCCCTTGTGAAAAAAAATAATAACAGACTGCATCAGAAGTGCCAAAACAGTCTTCCAGTAGAATTACAGTTCATTGTCAATGGAAGCAGCAGTTGAAACTGATCAGCAGTTGCACATGCATTTTCATATAAGGCAACATCAGTTCTTTGGCAACAGGCCATATGCCATTTTCTGAATCTGCAGTTCACAACACAGACCACATTCAGCAGAGTCAAAAAGCATTCCAAATGAAAATCACAGCTCAAGGTATTGTATCATGTACTCAGTTTGGTAGCTGAGTGGTGGAATTATATACTTTCAGTCAACATATGATGGTGTGGTGGGGGAGGATAACAGCTATCCATGACTGTATAAGCAGATCACTTGCTAAGACTAAACTGTTGGGCTGCTGATCTGCCATATTGGAGCAGAGGTCAATTTTGGTGGGGGGTTTCCACATTTAAAATTATCACAAAAATATGTTAAAATAACTTTTAGTAGCCTTGATAATTACATTGATGTTCAGTATTAACAAAAATAATTGTTTCGTTGATTTTAGGTACAATTTTTCTTTGTATTATTTTTTAGTCTTACTACAAAGATTATCTGAGATGATGTTACGTAATTTTGTTTGTTGAAATCATGTTTAATATTACCACAAATATTGTTTTAAACAATTTTAGGTAATCTTGTACATTTAAATCATGTTTAGGATGTTTTCACATTTAGATTTTTTTTAATTATTACAAAAACGAGTAAAGATAATTCAGTTAACAGTCCCTTTTCCATGCCTTTAGGCGTATAGCATATAGGGCTAGACCTATATTTTTGTAGACCAATTGGCACAAGATGGGTGATGTGGTCAGCATCATGCCAGATCCCTTTACGTCCCGGAACTGCACCCGGTACCTGGGAGTCAAGGTCATTTTTTTTTTTAAAGTCTGGCTCTGCCAGGGAGCAAACCCATGACCTTCCTATCCGCACGCGAGGTCCACAAAGATTAACAGTAGATTAGTTAATAGTTCCAGCTTTATAGCAAACATGTAAAGTACTTGCTTCATTCTTGTGCCAGTGAAAATCACACAAAATGCCCATCCCTGTCCAAATTAGTACAAATCGGTTTGGTAATATCCCGCCAATGAACTATGATATTTGTTAAACATATTTTCAACAACTGTTTTAGTGATTTTATTAATTAGGAGAGGGAGAAGTTAGAAAGGATCAAAGGTTGTGGTGTCGACCTGTGGCTGAAATGGACCTGATTCATCATCTCACAACCTTTGACTTAAAAAAAAAATTAATCAAAATGCTTATATACTTCCCCTGATCCTGGAGTAGTGGATTTGAGGTCTAGTCTTATCAGACAAGGACATAAAACTTGGAGGATCCATGTGCCTGTTAAGAATGCCCACCCCCGTCAGTTGGAAATCAAACAAAGCAAGTTCAACAGGTCACTGCTGCGGCTAAATATTCAAATTAGAAAAACTACCCACAAAAAAATATTTATGACAGCTGTGATGCTACTACACACACAACTGGATTCTTTCTAGAGCTTATATAATTCATGCACTGCGTGGATACTCTCACTGTGTGATCTGTTGGGGAGACTGATGCACTTTTGTAGAGATCCTAGTGCATGGAAGGTAATATTGTGCAAATCAACAAAACAGAACTAAGCAGAGTCAAGGGTATTTTTTTGTAGTACCCAACAAAATTCTTGTAGACAAAAGGTCAGTAAAAATTTGAGTTGTGTATCCTTGACTGAATGTCATTGATCAACCCCAGTATTTATTGGCTGTTTGTGACTTTACTGTACAGTAGTTTGCTGTTGCTTTCTGAATGATCTATGTTCTGTACCATTGTCGATATCAATGCAAATGGGTCCGCTGCCAAATCACCTACAGCTGAATCATGAAAAATGAAAAAAATCTTGGATAAATTTATGTCTGTAGCAGAGAACATGATACTGAGTTTGTTTTATCACAGAGACATGTTTGCCGATGAGCTCAAGGATTCTGGCCCACAGTCACCTGATGTCATGGAACAGAGGTTAGTGATCTTCAGCACAGGAATCAGAAAGAGTGGTGTGTCTATTAAATGTAGAAGGAATGTGAGAAATTGAACTGGATGCAGACATGCTAAATGGCTATAAGTATAAATGTTATATATGTATGAGGTATATTAACAGGTTCCAGTCCTCATTGAATGGATCCTCTTTGCTTAGAAAATAGTCTGATATATATGTATATATAGGTCCTGTTCATGTTTCCTAGCTTAGGATTAGAGTAACTTTCCTTGCCATTCATGCCTCCTTAGGTCGCTGGACCTCTCCTATGTTGGGGGGAGGGAGTGTTATGATGGGGCTTGGTTGGGCATTTGCCCAGCGTATGTAATGTTTGAGGGGGGTTGTGTTGTTGTCAGTCTATTTCAGGCACCACAGGCGCCTGTGTACACATAAGAAGTACTGCATATTCTACTATTCTTGGCTATCGAAACTGGGATGTTTTTGAGTTTCTACATTCATTGGCGTTGGCTCCCCCTTCCACTTTCCTGAGAGAAAGAAAGCAGTTACAAGGAGCAGATGAATAGAAAAATATCTGCTACACTCGCGCAGGTAGCAGAACGTTACAATAACCATGCAAGCGAGCGGTGAGAAGATGATAAAAGAGGCAACGGTTAAACTGTTTACATAAGGAAAACATTACTCCCCTGCAACAAAGGAGAGGTCCAGCAACCTAAGGAGTCATGAATGGCAAGGGAAGTTACTTTAATCCTTATATATATATATATATATATTATATATATATATATATATATATATATATATATATATATATATATATATATATATATATATATATATATATATATATATATATATATATATATATATAATTATTTTTAATATTTTTTTAGTGGAAACCTGGTGCAAAAATGTGTAATTCATCTTTTTCGGCTTTCACCCAAAAGGGGGAAGTTGGCACGATGTGTTGCGATTTACAGTTTGGTGATATTTGCACATTTCAGACCAACACATCAATTAAAGCTAATCTTTAACTAGTCGCCTTTTACGACATGTAGAGTAAGCACAGAACCAATTCTAAATTACATACAAAGACAGCAGATCAGATGGTTTGCCCACTTAGAGAGAACGCCTTGTGATGATATAACATAGCAGGCACACACTGAGGGAAAAGAAAGACGAAGAGCACAAGGTAGATCAAGAACAAGTTGGGAAGATAACATTTTTTTTTTGTAAAGCTACAACAGCAAAGTGTTTCTGGGGGGTCAAGATGGCCAGAAAAGCAAGAAGCAGAACATTATATGGCTTAAACACCTGAAGCAGTAAAAGAGGAAGTGAAGAAAAAGAAAATTGAAAGGGCGGTACATTTATGTTCCCCCGTCCCACCTCTTCCTTTCCACCCCAAGATGAGGCCTGGAACCCACAAGGGGAAGAAATTTGCCTGAAATATGTATTTGTATCTAGACAAGAAATTGCCTTTTTTGTTTGCTATGATGGAAACATTGAATTTTATTCACTAAGGCAGGATGCCCTGCTACTGAACCACACATGGTGCTACACCAGCACCAGGTACTGAACCACACATGGTGCTACACCAGCACCAGGGCTTATACAGGTCAAAACTTGCCTACATCTCTCTAGGGACATCCTAGAAACAGCTCCCCAATCAGAAACCAGGCCAACAAAAATATGAATAATGTTTCCTTCATAGTTAGAGCGCACCAACCTGAGAGGCAGGGAACTAACTGTTTAGACTCAAATACACCAGATCTGTCAAATGAATGTGCATGAAAATCATGGAATAAGACAAAAGTCTAAAAATTGATTACAAAAAACAGGACTTTCTGCTGGTTTACAGCCAGTAAACATTATACAGAAAAAATATAGAAGAAGAAGAAGGAGAAGAAGAAGAAGAAGAAGAAGAAGCAGCAGCTGAAGCAGCAGCAGCAGCAGAGAAGAAGGAGGAGAACAATAATACTTTTTAAAACAAGAAACACTTTTACTTTATTTACGCAGCCAAGAAAATACATCAGATTCCAAAACATTGCTCTTATCATAGCATGCCAGAAGGACACTTGAATATTTGCCAATTCCCTTCCTCTTCTACTTTCATGCCTGAGATGTTGCTAATACCCGCCTGTGTGCTGTTAAACATCTGCCTCTTCTTTAAAGAACTTTGCTTTTCATTATAATTCTTCAATTGTTTGTTTTACTCCCCCTGATGGTTCTGGGAACCATTGCCCCTCCCCCCCCCCCTCACCCCAAACAAGTATCATAATGTCGGACTGTTTGTGTTAGCTTTTAATGCCTGTGTATGCTAGTGCATATGCTGAAACGGCAGTCTGTCAATCTTTCCACGAGGGACTGTGATAAACATTCTGTGTGTTTTTCGTTGGCACAGGAGCGGAGCAACTATGGGGTGACTCGTTTGCTATGAAGCTGAAACTAAGATTACCAGAATTATGACATAAGAGCTGACTAATTAGGGGTTACCTTCAAAATCAGAGTGCATCTGCCAGAGAGGCGAGGAACCAGTAGTCTGCATACAAGTAAGCCAGATCTGTAAAATTGATGTGCACGCAAAATTCTAATTCTAGAACAAGTTCAGAAGTGGATGAACATCCAGAACTTTCTGCCAAAGTTTACAGATCTACTTTTTTCTTTTGAAAATTTATTTTAAAGATACTTTGTCTTCTTTGTTTACCGGCTCTAAAAAAAAAACGTAAAGATCCCTTTTCACGCTTTTAGGCATATCAGGTATATAAGAATGCGTCGACCTGAACGCCCCATACCATGATAAAAATCCACTCAACCAGAAGTGTGTTTCGATCGTGGTACATTGGAATTATGAGTTGGACTTGCAAAGCTATGGATGCCAATCACCAGCTGTAAGCTCCGGCGAAAAGTCCTGGTTGTTCATACGTTTGGACTTTGGCTTTGTGCCAGGGCCTGAGTTTTGTGTGTACATCTGTTTTACTGGCCTATTTGTGTGCAGCTGGTTGTTCCTTGCCGCTTGAACAGATGCACTCTGACTTTGAAGAAAGTCCTCAGCTAGTCGACATGCTTGTTGGGGAGGCAGTGGGTCTATTCCTTTTTTTCCCTTGGAACCCACACAGGGATGTAAAGATACTGTTTTCCATGATATATTTCCAGCACACTAAAACTTTCCAATGAAAAGTCCTGGTTGTTTATCTATTAGGATTTTGGCTTTGTGCCAGGGACTAAGTTTTGTGTGTGTAAACAGGGAAGACCAAGAGAGACCCTGGATAGAACCATCACCAGGGAAGGCTCAACGATGGGCCTAATGAACATAGTTTAGTTGCATATCCTTTACAGGATGTTGCAGAACCAACCCCAACAGCCCCTGGCTGTTGTGTGGTTTTTCTAGGTAAATTTACGTCAAGTAGTTTGCAATTGCTTTCTGGACAGTCGGCTTTCTTTATACCACTGTCGAAACCAATGCAAGGCGCATGGCCCACAGCTGGGATCGAACCCGGCATCCCGGCATTACAAAGCGTTCGCATCGACTTGGCCACAGAGCTGACCCTAATGAACATCCAAGACCTAAAACAGGTGGCAATGAACTGCCAGACATGGAGAGTCATGACCTCTGCCCTATGCACCACCTTGGCTCAAGAGGAAAGACTAACTCACTAACACTGTTACTTTTCTGTTTACTTCTAATTACCATTTTACTGTTTTAACAAATATCAGAAGGCAGCAGTTTGTTTATGAACTCAACACAACGGGCAAATATTTTGCCATCAAGGAGCAGCTGAAGCACAGTGTGGTGAAGATTGTCAGAGAGAAGTACCTGCGCACCACAAACTTTGAGGACAAGGGAGAGCTACAGGTGAGTTACTGACTTCCATGTGAGTTTCCTTTTTATGTTATAAATCCCAATGCAAACTGCAGATGAGCCAAGAAACTGATAGCAGCAAAAGTGTAGTTTCTGATAGAAAAGTTAAAGAGTATCATTATTACATTCATTGGTTGTTTTTTTGTGACAGTATATGTTCTGTTGTGACAGTATATATCCTGTTGTGACAGTATATGTCCTGTTGTGACAGTATATGTCCTGTTGTCACAGTATATGTCCTGTTGTCACAGTATATGTCCTACAGGGCTTGCAGACTATTTCTCCATTCATTGTTACCCTGTTTAACCGTTAAGTTATATTAGAACCCCTAACAACAGCCAGAGTGGAGCTTTAAAATAGCAACAAATTGCGCCCCATGTTGGGATGCCTTCTCAAGACAGAAGAACCTTGTTCAGTTTTTATAAAAGTTCGGCGGGTCTAACCCATAGACCACCCTGTGGGTCTAACCCATAGACCACCCTGTGGGTCTAACTCATAGACCACCCTGTGGGTCTAACTCATAGACCACCCTGTGGGTCTAACCCATAGACCACCCTGTGTCTCTAACCCATAGACCACCCTGCGGGTCTAACCCATAGACCACCCTGCAGGTCTAACCCATAGACCACCCTGCGGGTCTAACCCATAGACCACCCTGCGGGTCTAACCCATAGACCACCCTGCGGGTCTAACCCATAGACCACCCTGCGGGTCTAACCCATAGACCACCCTGTGGGTCTAACCCATAGACCACCCTGCGGGTCTAACCCATAGACCACCCTGCGGGTCTAACCCATAGACCACCAAGCAGATGGGAGAACATGAAGGATTTATTGAAGGCTTAATCGATGCTGTCAGGTCGCTAAAAATAATTATTTTTCAATCAATATAATTTCAAAATATCAGAAAATTAATTATTTTTTTTTACATGAAAGGAAATAATCACTAAATATAAATGGATAAAGAATTAACTGATTTCCTTCCTTTTGACCAGAATAAATGAGGTTTTGTTTACAAAGCCACGTACAGCAAAGTGAGATTATGAGATTATTTTAACAAATTACAATTTTTTTAATGTGAATTTTTCCCCCTTAAATTATGATTAAAATTCTTAGATTTTTTATGTGGGGGTGGTTGAGGGGGGGGGGGGGGATATGACCACTATGTCTACACAGTATGATGCTGTAGCCAGTACCATTGCTGTTATAATGGCCACTGCCCAAAGACTTTACTTCAGCAAAAGCCCATTAATGGCGCAGAAAGGGATTTCTCAGGGTGACAGAGAGTGAGTATATGAGTGAATGAGTGAGTGAGTGAGTGAGTGAGTGAGTGAGTGAGTGAGTGAGTGAGTGAGTGAGTGAGTGAGTGAGTGAGTGAGTGAGTGAGTGAGTGAGTGAGTGAGTGAGTGAGTGAGTGAGTGAGTGAGTGAGAGAGAAAGTCCTTGAGTGTGAGAGGGAGAGATAGTGAGTCAGTGAGTATGTGAGTAAGTGAGAGAAAGAGTGAATGAGTGCAAGAGTGAGTGAGGTAGAGAAAGTGGGTGAGTGAGAGAAAGAGTCTGTATGTGAATAAGTGAGTATGTGAGTGAGAGAGAGCGAGTATGTGAGTGAGCGAAAGAGTGAGTGAATGAATAAGTGAGAGAGTGAGTAAGAGAGTATATGAGTGAGTGAGTCAGTGAGTCAGTGAGTGAGAGAGAGAGAGAGAGAGGGAGAGAGTCTTATAGTGAACAAACAACAAGGAGAATAATAAACAAAAAATAAAATTAAAAGATGTGGTTACTTCCATTCTACAGACATTCCTGTCAGAGCTGTATGTGTATCTCGTGGACCAGATGCATGTGTCCTTGAGCAAAGTTCTGGCATACGAGGATCAGCCGGCCGTCCCCAAACCCCTGAAAGACAGCAACCAGCTGAAACACTTTGCCTTCGAGGCTGAAATCAATCACAACTTTGAACTGGCTGAAACATATTACAAAGAGGTAACGGCTGTATTGAATTCGGTTGCTTGTTTTATGTTCTATTGTGTGTGAGTGTATGTGTGAGAGTGAGTGTATGAGTGAGTGTATGAGTGAGTGTATGTGTAAGAGTGAGTGTATGTGTTGGAGTGAGTGTGTGTGTGTGAGAGTGAGTGTGTGTGTGTGAGAGTGAGTGTGTGTGTGAGAGTTAGTGTATGTGTGTGTGTAAGAGTGAGTGTGTGTGTGAGAGTGAGTGTGTGTGTGTGAGAGTGAGTGTGTATGTGTGAGAGTGAGTGTGTGTGTGAGAGTTAGTGTATGTGTGTGTGTAAGAGTGAGTGTGTGTGTGAGAGTGAGTGAGTAAGTGAGTGAATGTGAGAGAAAGAGTGTGTATGTGAATGACTGTGTATGTGAGTGAAAGAGAGTGATAATGTGAGTGTGTGAGCATATAAGTGAACTAGTGAGAGTGAGTGAGTGAGAGAAAGAGTGAGGAGTGAGTATGTGAGTGAAAGTGAAAGAAAGAGTGAGTGAGTGAAAGAAAGTGAGTGAGTGAGTGAGTGAGTGAGTGAGTGAGTTAGAGAAAGAGTATGTATGTAAATAAGTGAGTATGCAAGTGAGAGAGAGAGGGGGTATGTAAGTGAGTGAGTGAAATGAGAGAGTGAGTATGTGAGTGAGTGAGTGAGTTTAAATATTCTTAGTCCTCTTACAAAATTATGGTTGGGGGGGAGGAGGGGCTTTTGATGGCCATGAGCACTCTAGGTTGCAACACACCTGTGTATTTAAACTAAATACCATTTTTAAAAGCCATATTGTATTTTGTCTTTGTCAGCCTATTATAATGATACATCTGTGTTTTAAACTCTCCAGAGGATTGCCAGAAACAAAGCAGACACAGATTCCTGGTTTGACTACGGCACGTTTAATTTGTACATTGGAAACATACCAAAGGTAAAGTAAAAACACCTGGCAACAGTTGGTTGTTAGTTTGTATATCTTCCCAGAGCTGCAGAGAACCTTCACCTTGATGATTGCAGTGTGCAAGACAGAAGGTTGAGGACAGAAGTGATGGCCAACACTACAGGCATGAACAATAGGACATTTTCAGGCCAGTGGCGATCGGACATATGGTGCTAGACTTCTGTTCTTATAGGCCAGTCCGCCATTGATATTTGATGTGGTCTTCATTGTGCCTTATGGACAGTCCTCATCATTATCATGTAGCAGGTCCTTTGCAGAACGTCGCTGTCATCACAGACTGCCTGAAAAAAACTGGGTCTCTCAGCTCTCCTACCTCGTGCACTTTCACACTCAAGGTGTCACTTATATCCTGTGCCCATCTTCATGCTGGTCGGCCCCTGCCCCTCCTTCCTGGTACCATGCCTTCTGCTATTATTTGTCTAATCCGTCGTGGCGCTTGATAAGAACAAAATGTTTAAGCTTCCGCGACAGTAGAGAAAATATTTTTTATCTAAGTGCTGCTGTTTACTTAGAGCACACAACTTGAAACAATATTTTCCTACAGTAAATTTAAATAATGCAGACAAAATAATACACTGTGTTATTTATTGCCAGGCATATTTCGTTGTATCTCATTAGCTGCCTTACTATAGAGTTATATGAACATAATCTTCTTCTTCAGTATTCCGAGCCCTTGAGGTTCACTGCTGCAGATATCACCCCCCTCCACTCATCTCTCTGGTTGGCCTTCTTCAGCATTCCGAGCCCTTGAGGTTCATTGATGTAGATATCAACCCCCTCCGCTCATCTCTCTAGTTGGCCTTCTTCAGTATTCTGAGCCCTTAAGGTTCACTGCTGCAGATATCAAACCCCCCCCCCCCCCAATCCTCTCTCTGGTTGGCCTTCTTCAGCATTATGAGCCCTTGAGGTTCATTGCTGCAGATATCACCCGCCTCCATTCATCTCTCTGGCTGGCCTTCTCTTTCCAGTTGGTGACACCAAGTGTTTGCAGGTCTCTTTGGACATTATCTCTCCATCGTCTTCTTGGTCTGCCTAGTGGTCTATGACTATTCATGTCCCTTGTGTATACAGTTTTCACTTCTCTGTCATCTGACATTCTCTCAATATATCAACATATAATGAAGCGCAAAAACTGAATTAATTCCAAAGATGAAGCTTTATCAGTAAACAAGAACAACTCACCTCTCTCCCTCCCTCCACCCGTATGAACAGAAAGAGTTTGTGATAAATTTGAAGTTAACCTGATAAGTCATGTGACTGTTGTGAACTTCCAACAGAGTTCAACAGCTCGCACATGAATACATGGATAAGGTAGCTGTCAGAGGTGCCACCATCTACAGTTAGTCACTATAACATTTATAGTTGATGGAAGCTGCATCACAGAAAACCAGTAGTTGCATATGCATTACTGCATAAGGCACACTGCCAATTCTGTGGAAACCAGTCATTCATAATTTTTGAATATGCAGTTTACAACACATCTCTGGAAGCACAGGCAAAAAGTATTCTCCATGAAATTCACAACTCGCAGTGTCATACCAAGCATTCAGCTCAGTAGTTGGCCAACAGAACCTTATGCTTTTTTAATCTCTTTATAATGTCCTCATAATTGTTTTGTAAAGCTTTATCTCCACAGCTTTGGGATTATTTCTCAAGACTCTGCAGAATATCAATGATTCACGTTTATGCATCAGGATTGGTTGCAGTTGCCCAGCTACTGAGCTGAGTGCACAGTGCAACATTATACGCTGCAGATTTCTTTCTGTAATATGTTTGACTGTTCCCAAAGTGGTTTGTGTTGTGAACTGCTCATTTTAAAATCTCAGTCTGGTTGGCAGACCAGCAAACCAGATTCCAGATACCCTCTTCAGCCTCCAAAGAAGTTGTAATTAGGGCACCATAAAGGGCTGTGTGATCTTGAGGCATGGTGTCCGCCTCAAGGACTAGAGATTCTGGGTTCAATCCCCGGTAAGAGCTGGAATTTTTTCGCATGGACTTGGACTTCTAGTAATTCCCCCTGGTCTCTGGGTAGTAAGATCGGACGCCTGTATACATTGTTGCGCACGTAAACAAAATCCCTTGGCAGGCGGAAATTGAAAAGAGTAGCCTAACGGCGCTGCCCGGGCAAAATTTGGAGTTTAAAATCTACCTAAAGTATCTCAGGATCCTCGCCGGTGCTTCAGAGCCTGTGCACTATGCTGAGCTTCTTTGGACTCAGACTTGAATTAGAAGAAGAACAGAGCACTTATGAGTTTACTACCCTGTGCCATAATGTTGATCTGCTGTTCAAAACCTCAAATTAGGACACCAGCCTGGTACGGGTAAGGTCACGAGCAGTTTGAATTATTATGAACATTTACAGTAGTTATACCTATCTTTCAGGCAGAAGAGTGCTTCAAAGAGTGCTTATCAACCAACCCTAAGCATTTACAGAGGTAAGTGTAACCTTTCTAAAAATTATGTGAAGAGCCATTTTTCACACCAATAGTGGATCAGGCATATGGTGCTAAAGCCATATTTATTTAAACTAATTGGTCGCCTTTACTTAACGAGACATTTCCAGGTACCTTTTTAAGACTAAGTTAATGTGGTAGCAAAGGTATTTATGAAAAGTCTGACTCAGTGTTGATTTGAACCCAAAACCTATGAGCCTGGTATGCAAGCATCTTGCCACCATCACAGCTCTCTCTAAACTTATAACTTGGATAAAATTCACGGTGTGTGTTCTGGGGTGCCATTGTGAGGAGGGGGAGCGGGGCCGACTAAATATACCTCACAAATTTGAAATTACTGTGCAAGTTATGTACACAACCCTAGTTTCTGGTGCACACAACCCCAGTTTTTGGTGCACACAACCCCAGTTTCTGGTGCACACAACCCCCAGTTTCTGGTGCACACAACCCCAGTTTATGGAGCACACAACCCCCAGTTTCTGGTGCACACAACCCCAGTTTATGGAGCACACAACCCCAGTTTCTGGTGCACAAAACCCCAGTTTCTGGTGCACACAACACCAGTTTCTGAGGCACACAACCCCAGTTTCTGGTGCACACAACCCTAGTTTCTGGTGCTGGTGAAAAGAAGAACTTTGCAGTACAAACTTCATTTAGACAGTCCTATGGTTCAAGGTCATAAGAAATCTATAGAACTCAACCAGCTTTACTACAATAAATTCATCATTTTTTTTTTTTTTTTGGTTGTCTCAGATTACCTGCTTTAGGAGAGATTTGGACAATTTTTTTGATGAATGTGAAGAAAATATACTAGCATAAGATAAGACACACATTTAGAAAACCTGAGAACGATATAACTGGAATGTTTTTTGCACTGGAACCCCAGGGGCAAAGAAATCATAAAGACAAAAAACAAATGGAGAGGGGAGCTAGAGAGGGAAGTTAAAAAGATGGGGAGGACAGGGAATGAGCTGAGCTACCTCTGCATTAAAATATAGGATGAATTGGCAGTAGTCGGTTGAGTGCCTATGCTCCATTGGTAGATGAAGAGTGAAAGAATAAGAAGATTACTTGAACGCCATGCGTCAGATGTTGAAACTCCCTGTTCTGGGGCCTCATTGTGGGGAAAACAAGAATAGACCCATTGCATCCAAAAAAACAAGGATGTCATAAGAGTAATTGGTGGCTTTCTTTAAAGCTGGAGTCCTTCTGCCTGAGAGATAAGGAAACCAACAATCTGCATACAATTAAGTCAGATCTGTTGTTATAAACGGATGAGCAGGCAACACTCAGGTTCTGGAACAAGACTTAAGTCCAGAGGTGGACAAACAACCAGAACTTTTCGCCAGAGTTAACAGCCAGTGAACGCGTAGAAGGAGAAAATGTAAATGGAAAAATACTGCCAATCCTCCAGAGGGTCTCAAGTAATCAGAATGAGGAAAATTAGACTTGTGAAAACTATGGACTTGTAGGCTGCAAATTAACATTTCTTCATTGAATTTTGTGAAATTAAGATTTGCATTGTAGATAAATAAATCACTAGATGCTTATATTCTATCTTCAGTCTCTTGGTGTATGGCATAGTGTGTGTCATTTCTGACAAAAATGAAATAGCAGAGACATTTTTTGAGACAGCTACATGTATACACTGTAAAAGTGTTCTTGCTTGGACTATGCTAGGTATGTAATAGAACTCTTCAGTTAAAATAGTTAGAAATAATATGGTGTGCATCTTCTGTACCAGTGAACAGTTTAAGTGGTTTTATTGAATTCCTTGTTGGTGTTGTTGCTACTGTTTCTGTTGCATCTGCACTGTTTTTTTTTCTTTAAATGCTGTTGTTGTTGTTGCTACTGTTGCTGTTGTCATTGTATTAACTCTATTGTTGTTTTTGTTGTTGTTACTGTTATTGTTGCTATGGTTGATGTTTCTGTTATTGTTTATGTTGTTGTTGCTGTTACTCTTGTTGCTGTTGTTTTGTTGTTGTTGTTTTTGTTGCTGCTGCTACTACTATTGTATCTACCTTAGTTAGTGCTTGGTTGCTGTTGTAGTTTCTGCTGTAGTTTGTTGATATAATTGTTGCTCTTATTTATTCTGTTACTGCTGCGGTTGTTGTTGGTCTAGCTCTCTGTTCCTCATTATATCACACTGAATATATAAATAAGGTTTGTGAAAAAACAATGCATTTATTGTGATTCTTATCTTTTTGATAAGGTCTGTTCTATGATGCGGTCTCCAATGAGATTGGAGCAGAGATGGCTTATGCAGAAGCTAACAGATTAAATGACAAGAAGATTCTAGCTTTCACTCAAGCAATGAGAGAAAAGGAGGAGGAATTGCAGGAACAAAAGAGGAAAGAGCAAGAAAAGATTGCTGGGGAATCCAAAAGAGAAGGTAACTCTAAAATAAAAAAACTCTCACTCAAAACTGTCTGAGTTATCTTCCCGCAAAAGTAAAATCTTTGCATAGATAAGACTTTTTCTAGGGGTCACCTCAGCTAAGCCGTTGGCCTCATACTCTAAAGGTCTGCAATCAGTAATTGGTTTTGTCTCCGTTGCTACTTTTGGGGTGTTAAATGATGAGGTGACAGTCTCTTCCATAATGGTCAGTTGTGTTCAGAATTGGGTCTTTACAAGAAATTTATGTGTATATATATATATATGTATATATATATATATATTCCATTGGTGCCAGTAGCAGTCTGATTATATGTCCATCTTGCTTTTTCTCTGAGTGTCATATTTTTGTGTGTGTGCTAATGGTTTTAATTGCATATATGTGTGTATGTATGTTTACAGACCATTCCGCAGAAGGTGGGTAATATAGTCAGCATTACGCCGGCCATCTTCACTTCTCCAGGACATACATCCTGGTAACCATTTTAGGCTGGGTCGACCTGCTACGCTCCATACCACGATAAAAATCCACGCAGCCAGCAGTGGGTTTCTATTGCTGTATATTGGAATTACCAGTCGGACTCGCAATGCCTAAGCCTCGGGTCCGCAAAATGTAATCAACTGCCCTTTATCTTCTTCTCTATGTTGCTTCCCCTTGTTAAGTCTTTCTGTCTGATGTTAGACAAAGCTCTCTAGGCAGTGGGATTATGTGGTTCTGATATCCTTTCAACACATCACAGGTGTAGTACATTTTGTTTTTCATTCTTCTTCGTTATTTTACATCTGAGTACCGTAATTGTATTGTGCATATTTACAGCATAGCTGTGATTTTTGTACCTTTTGACTGACACATCTGACTTCCTCAGGTTTTTAATTCTTCTTCTTCTTCTTCTTCTTCTTCTTCTTCTTTTTCTTTGTTCACTGGCTGTAAATTCCAGGCGAAAATTCTAGTTATTTGTCCATTTGGACTTTGGCATTTATGCAGGACCTGAGTTTTGTGTGCGCAACCATTAACTGGCTTTTTTGAGTGCAGTTGTTTGTTTCTTGCCACTTGGGCAGATTCATTCTGACTTCGAAGGAAGTCCCCAGTTAGTCGACACCTACGACTTGCTTGCTGGGAAGACAGTGGGTCTGTTCTTGTTTTCCCCACAACAGGGTCCCGGAACCCACACAGGGAAGGTTTTTAATTCAGTGTTGTATCATTCATGTAATAAAATCAGCAACATTTGAAATTATGTTAACATTTTCTTTCATTTAATTATATCATCAATTTCTATGTGTATTGCTGTATAAATCTTGTCCTGATTTAGATAAATTAATCCTGAACAGTTGGTTTATTACTGAAAAATGACGTGGAAGCTGCAGAGATGTGGTTTTGAAGATGAATGATGAGACCTTACTGGATAGATGTAACTAATACTGAAGATGTCTCGAACTTGAAGGAAACTGATTTATAAAACTAGTTGATTGCCTACATCAGAAAGGAGATAATCTACATTGTTTGATCATTCATGTCATCAGAAGGAGAAAACTGGATTACATTGTGATGGTGGGAAAGTTGGAAGGAAAAAAAAGCAGAGGGAGACCAAGAGAGAACATGTTGGACATTCTGACTTTAAGGCATGCAGAATCCTCTGTATGAAAACTGACTGATCGTACCAAAGACAGAAGGTTTTGCATAACTACCAACACCACACGGGATGGGCTATAAAAAGAAGTAAACAATTGTAAACTGTTTAATGTCTTATTGTGAGTAATAACTGAAAGCTATATTTCTCTTCCACTTCATTTCCATGAAAGAAATTCTAATGGCGGTAGATGAGGGAGGACTTTCTGTCCAAGCTGTGGACCCAAAGCTTGGAAACATACAAAAGAGCACTCCAGCCCTGGCTAAACAAATATCACCTGCTATCAGACAAGGTATGTAATATTCACAAGTACTGATTAATTTATAGTTCACAAATCGTCGCAGCAGCTACTGATGTCTAGCTCTGTATGTCACTCCTGGCAGGCAGCTAGCTATTCTACTAATAGAGACTGAGCCGTATGTAATAAATCTGGTAATCTGGTGGTCTTAGTTTCAGCTTCATAGCAAACGGGTCACCCCATAGTTGCTCCGCTCCTGTGCCAACGAAAAACACTCAGAATGTTTATCACAGTCCCTTGTGGAAAGATTGACAGACTGTTGTCTCAGCATATGCACTAGCATATGCACACATTAAAAGCATATGGTAGCCATCCGAAGTGCTAACACAAACAGTCCAACATTAGAAATGCAGTTCATCATGGATGGTAGCAGAAGTTCAATTTTAATCACATAATGACACCACCAATATTGCAACAACAGGCATCGCACCATTTTCTGAATCTACAATTTACACTAACATGTTGGTCACAGTAGAAAAACATTCCAAATGAAATCAGCAGCTCACAGTGTCACACCTTGCACTCAACTCAGAAGCTGGGTGACAAAACTATATTTTCAGTCTACAAATGGAGCAAAAATGCACCAGCCACCGTCTGGCAGAAGCACAACAATTTTGCCACGGCTCAAAACAAGTGACTGTGCCTAGCAACCATTTTTACCGGAAGCGTATGTAATAAAACCCAGTGCAGTGAAGTCGATTCTCCCACCTTTACTTTTACTTTTACCTTTACCTTTATAAATCATTAAGTGTTTCTGCACACTTTTCATGACAGTGGATTTGAGATTTAGATTAACGGTCAGCATGTATTTATTGTGGGTAGTTCACCACTAATGGATCTAGTTCCAATATCCCACTCTTTGCTGAGACATATGATAGCTGATGAAGGCTTTCTGGCTGCAACGTTCATTTAGTAATTTGGGATTGTGTTTTATTGGAAAGCTGACCAGTTCTGCTTCTTATCTGAGTTGATTTTTGTGTGTCTGAGATGCAAATAACCAACAGTCTGCACACAGATAGACCAGATCTCTAAAATAGATGTGCACACAACACTCAAGAAAAACAGTGACATCCTTTCAAAAGACCCTTCAACGTAGGAAATGATCCAGACATACAGCATAGACCTGCGGCCTTACTATACAGTCACAATGGTGGTCCCAAGCATAGACAGAAAGGCTAAAGAATGTGACCTAGTACAGCATGCAAAAATCCTTGAACATGTCTACAATGCTTATGCAAAACCTAAATAGACACACTCATACACCGATGGATCATTGGAGGAAGCAGGGAAAAAAACGAAGCAGCTGGATTGGTCATCATGCTTCAAGATGGGACCACAGTAGAAACCTCATACACCTCCGGAAGACTCTCAACATACTTCAGAGCAAGCAATTATTGATGCAATCAAAGTGCTTGAGTGCAGAAAAATTAATCCTTTGTGACTGCATGTCAGTTCTCCAGGCGACTCAGAGGGATCCACGAGACAACAAGGAGAGAGAACTGACCTGCCAGCTAAACAGACTCTCTGAAAACAATCGAATCGTTCTCCAGTGGATCCCAGCTCACTGCGGCATACCAGGAAATGAGTTAGCAGACAGACTTGCAAAAAATGGAACAAAGGAGAAACAACACGCCCATTCATTGTCATTACCAGAAATCAAAACACTCATCAAAAAAAAATACAAGGGATTGTGGAGAGAACAAACCAACAGTAAACATTCACAAGACCCCATCAGCAAACTCAACAGAAAGCAACATAAAACAATTTTCCGCCTATGAACAGGACACTGCAGGCTCAACTACCACATGCATTAAAAAAAAGACTGTAGTTCCTCCAGTGTGCCTGTCTGACAGGAACACAAACACATGAGCACATTCTGCAGACCTGCCCACTCTAATTACAACTTTGAAAAGACACCTGGCCTCAAGAGCAAAGTGTGCAGAGCAAGCTATGGGGAACCATGAAGGACCTGCTGCTGACATGCGAGTTCATAGAGGCAACACACCTGATGGTCTGATCTGAGCGTATGAAACCAAATGCAAAAAAGAACAACAACAACGAGAAGAAGAAGAAGAACAAGAAGAAGAAAAAGGAAAGGAGGAGGAGGAACAAAATAAGCAATGAATGTCAGAATTACTTATCTTATCTGTAAGTTGAGTTATCTTATATAAATATCCATTAACACATCTGAACAGTAGCAAATGAACCATTTCACATTTTGATGAAATTAGGCAGGAAATAGAGTAGGTTGCGATACTGAGTAATATTTAATGTGATTGTTGTATCAGGCCACATGCTGTACGGGGTTGTTTTTTTTTGGTACATTCTTCTGCTTGTTTCAAATCTGCAGCTCCCAGTGTTAGTCCTAGCACCTTATCAAGACCCAGTGGCAAACCTGGTAGTGAAGAACCAATCCAGCATGATCTTACATCTGTTCTTCCCTCAAGCATATTTATGGAGGCTGTTGATTGGTTGCTTCAAGTCAAGGCTATTTCTGTAAATAGCTACTTTATTTTTGACACTTTTTACAATATTTTTGATGTATAACATGCTTATATTTTAATTGACATGAATAGCTATACATTTATATTATATTTAATATTTCTGTTTACATTTAAATTATTTTTGATGTGTATAGTTATATTAAACATCATTAAAAGGCTATGGTTAAGCACCAGCAATGAAAACAAAGTTTTTGAGAAATTTTGAAAGCATACTTCTCCTTGTAGCAACATACAGATGTGAGTTGTGGACTACTATCTCCCATTTCTTAAGAAAGAAAACAGGAGCTTTTGAGCTGAACAGTTATAGAAAGGTTCTCAGAATACCATTGACAAAGAAAAGAAGAAATACTGACATTCTTAAAGATCTGAACATCAAGTAAGATTGGCTGATAAACAGCATCTTCTCTCAGAAGCATCAATATTTTAGTCAGATCTAGCACAATGGCAGATTAGAAAAATAGTAGCAGAAGACATAGTACCAGGAAGGAGGGGCCGGAACCAACCAACATGAAGATGGGCACAGAATATAAGGGACTCTTTTAATATGAAAGTGCACAAGGTAGGAGAGAGCTGGTGATAGACCGAGTTAGTTGGTTAGTTGGTTGGTTGGTTGGTTGGTTGGTTGGTTGGTTGGTTGGTTGGTTGGTTGGTTGGTTAGTTAGTTAGTTAGTTAGTTAGTTAGTTACTTAGTTAGTTAGTTAGTTAGTTAGTTAGTTAGTTAGTTAGTTAGTTAGTTAGTTAGTTAGTTAGTTAGTTAGTTAGTTAGTTAGTTAGTTAGTTAGTTAGTTACTTAGTTAGTTAGTTAGTTAGTTAGTTAGTTAGTTAGTTAGTTAGTTAGTTAGTTAGTTAGTTAGTTAGTTAGTTAGTTAGTTAGTTAGTTAGTTAGTTAGTTAGTTAGTTAGTTAGTTGGTTAGTTGGTTGGTTGGTTGGTTGGTTGGTTGGTTCGTTGGTTCGTTAGTTAGTTAGTTAGTTAGTTAGTTAGTTATTTAGTTAGTTAGTTAGTTAGTTAGTTAGTAGGTTGGTTGGTTGGTTGGTTGGTTGGTTGGTTGGTTGCTTGCTTGCTTGCTTGCTTGGTTGGTTGGTTGGTTGGTTGGTTGGTTGGTTGGTTGGTTGGGTGGGTGGGTGGGTGGGTGGGTGGGTAGGTAGGTAGGTAGGTAGTTAGTTAGCTAGCTAGCTAGTTAGTTAGTTAGTTAGTTAGTTAGTTAGTTAGTTAGTTAGTTAGTTAGTTAGTTAGTTAGTTAGTTAGTTAGTTAGTTAGTTAACAGATTATCCCCATTGCACATCAGACAAGTCAATAAGTGCTCGGCTGCCATCATCAGTATATCTCCCCCGTTTGTGATGGCTGATAACACCAGTTCTGTATTGATTACTATTCTTCTTTGGCTACCTGTATGGTGTTCATGATTGGTGACACCTCTTTTGACCAAGTTTCTTTCAGGCAGACCATGATGGGAGCGATGTTCTGCAAAGGACCTGCTACGTGCTGATATATCGTTATATGTTTCAGCTGTATTTTATATGTTTAGTTACATGTTTGCATTGCCCTGCTCTCTAGCGTAGTTGGCTAAACCGGATTGCGCGGTGAGCGGGTGACGAACTATTGTGGTCGGGGTTCACTCCCGGGGGTAGGCAGAAAAGCCACATTTTCTCCCAGATTTACGGTATTTAGAATGGAATCAAGGCCGAAAGGTTGTGATATCCATAATACCGAGCCTAAGGGTTAACAACTCATAGCTTCTGGATACTAAAACGAACAAACAAACAAACAAACATGTTTGCATTATATTTTATATGATTAGTTACATGTTTACACAGTCGAGTCCAGCTGAGTCAAACTCCGAAGATGAATTTCCCTAAAGTCGACATGACCAGCTTATTGCCGGCCATTTTCTTTCTTGAACATTGCATTAAAATCCTGTTAAGTGGAATTCTGTTAACCGAAATATTTGGATTAGGCTAATCTAAAAATGAATGCCGACTATATAGTGTCAGTTTTCGGGCTTCTCAAGGCAAAAAGGTCAAAGTTCATGCTCTATGAAGTTTATAGGGCCAGATTTAGATTTGATGAGGCCTAAAGCTATCCTACCATTTTATATTACCCTAGTTAATCTAATAAAACTTCAAGATATTTGTGAGTTAAAAAAAGTCGGAAGTTGACACATATCAAGCTGATTATTCTATTCAGTTTTAAATAGTCTGCAACAGATTAGAATAAATAAAAACCTGAGATTATATGCCAAAATAATATTGATAAACCAGACAACCAGGGTATTTTAATTTTTTCAGTTCTTTTAAAAGAACAGAAAAGAAGGAGACAAACACAGTTGTTTGGTCATGTGATGAGAAAGGGAGAACTGGTAAATATCATGACGACTGGAAAGATCTCTGGTGGAAGGGCATTAGTAAATCAAGAGAAATGATGGTGGATGGCTCAACCCTACCAGACCTGAGGCCCTGAATCTAACTATCCCTATAAACTGAGCTCCTGGACATCAACACGAAAAAACCAACATGATGTACAAAAATATTAGTTACATGTAAACAAGAGGTAAGAATAAGATACAACTTGGAGACTTTGTAGAAAATAGGTTTACTTTTCATCTAGCGCCAATATTCCACCTCTGTGTGCAAATCCACCTATCAGGATCAGTCTTGTTTCACAAAGTAAGCACCAGATGTTGCTGTTTGAGGGACAAACCCCCTTCTCTTACTATCGATCTAGTTTTCACACACCACACAAAGAAATCTCAACACAGGTGGGAAGTCCTTCGCAATGACTAGCCACAAAGTCGGATGGCGATTGGCTGGTTATTTTTAGTCTGTGGCGCATATTTTTCCTGTACAACGCAAATTCCCCAAAAATCGGTCCAGCGGTATAGCGTCAGGTTAGGAAATTCCCGAAAAATCGGGCCAAGGGTCTGGTAGGATTAAGACTGTGGCGTGGAGGAATAAAGACTGAGATCTGAGGAGAGGCTTAAACACCACCTCCAACTGGCAAGGCACTTGATGATGATTAAAAGAAAATTGCATTTGTGAAAGCAATAGGAATCTTTTTAGGTCCTTGCAGATTGTGAGGCCCTTAGCAGCAGCTTAGTTAGCCCATGCCTAAATCCAGCCCTGGAGGCTAGTCAACATGTCTGTCCCCAGCCTTTTGTCATATGTACATTATTCAGTACTTTTCAGTTTTATTAGCTTTTCAGTTCACAGAAAGAGCACTGGGTCATGAACTGCTGACAATTACCGGAGGTCCCAAGCTGGACTTCTATATCGCCATGGCAAAACTCTACATACTGAAGGGAGATTACTCTGAAGCCGAGAATAATCTCAATGAAGCGCTGCAATTGGACATCAAGGTTAGATATCTAGAATGTCATTGTCATTGAAGATTTTTATTTCATGTTTATTTTATATTTATTTATTTTGTTTAAAACATTTTTTAATTGCTGAATACTTTGAGCCACAAGGCACTTTGATTTCAGTTCTTCTTCTTCTTCTGTTCTTCTTCTTCTTCTTCTTTTGATCGCATGAAATAGATTATCTATATCTGCTATTTTGTCTCTAGTATGAACTTCATTGTCCATTGTAATTCAGTCAGCAACTTGTAAAATTTGGCTTGCGCACTGGTGTTTATCTTGGCCAAAGTTTTGCATTGATATGTTGTATTTGGAACAGTCTTAGAGGACGTGATCCATTGTCGTGGGTGCTAATCCACGTGTACACATGGCTGATTCACCAATCTCAAATATTGCATATATATGGCCGTGAGGTCGATTGTGCCCTCTTCTAAGGCGTAGAATAACGACTTGCTCTTTTCTGTCCATAAAATGATAATGGTCATTTGCTGGTTTTGGTGGCTTTCTGATTGATTTGATTGTCCTCTTCTTCTGTTGATAAGAGACTGGTACGTCAGGTTGTTCTTCATTTGCACCTTCCTTGGCTAGTTTATCAGCTCCTTCATTTCTGGAGAACTCCACAGTGGGACATTATCCATTGCGTAGTTACCTTACACCGGTTGCCTAGTTAGTAGAGTATATTTTGATAGACAGTTTTCTGTTTAAACCAACAGCCTATTTTTATGGGATATGGGACTGCATCTTTTACTAATAATATCCAGCTGAAAATATAGACCAATCAGCTTCCCTTTGTCAGCATTTGATGGGTAATGTCAACCTTTCCCTAAAAATCAGACCCTGGGTAATGTCAACCTTTCCCTCAAAATCAGACCCTGGGTAATGTCAACCTTTCCCTCAAAATCAGACCCTGGGTAATGTCAACCTTTCCCTCAAAATCAGACCCTGGGTAATGTCAACCTTTCCCTCAAAATCAGACCCTGGGTAATGTCAACCTTTCCCTCAAAATCAGACCCTGGGTAATGTCAACCTTTCCCTTAAAATGAGACCCAGGTTAATATTTTATTTTGACTTTTGTTGACATTTTTTTTTTTTTGGTCTCTCTCTATTAGAACCAGGATACCTGGGCGTTGATGGGACATGTCAAGTTTCTCAAGGGAGACAAGCCAGGTGCCAGAGACTGCTATGAAAGAACTCTGTCATTTGTTAATGATGCTAGTGAGACACATTCCTTGTACCTTCGTTTGGCATCTATTTATTTGCATGAAAATAAGGTAAGCTTATAGTTCTTCACATTGATAGGTGAAATAAGAAAATAAAAAAGACGAAGAGAAGGTATAGGGAGAAGAGGAGTGAAAGAAAAGGAAAAAGGAGAGGGAAGAGAAAGAAGAGTGTGTGAGAGAGAGAGAGAGAGAGAGAGAGAGAGAGAGAGAAAGAGAGAGAGAACTAGATATTATTTCCATGGGTTTGAAAAATCTGTCATCTTACTCACGCCATGTCCTCATTGGAATTCTAACACTAACATTTATGGCAAAATGATGATCTCTATTTGCTTTACAACACCTCCCCCCCCCCCCCCCACCCCCCCCCAACCAGTGCTATTTTAGTAAAATATATTCATATCCTGACCTCTTACACGTTGTGCAGGCACAGATGTAAACACAACCGATAGAGTTTTCTTGGTGTCTCAGAAACACAACTCTGTTGAAAAGTCAGTTAAGTGACATTTACAGGGGGATTAGACCCATCTGGAAGTGTCTGTTTTATGGCATGAAAAGTCAGTTAAGTGACATTTACAGTGGGATTAGACCCATCTGGAAGTGTCTGTTTTATGGCATGAAATGTCAGTTAAGTGTCATTTACAGGGGGATTAGACCCATCTGGAAGTGTCTGTTTTATTGCATGAAATGTCAGTTAAGTGTCATTTACACGGGATTAGACCCATCTGGAAGTGTCTGTTTTATGGCATGAAAAGTCAGTTAAGTGACATTTACAGGGGGATTAGACCCATCTGGAAGTGTCTGTTTTATGGCATGAAAAGTCAGCTAAGTGTCATTTACAGGGGGATTAGACCCATCTGGAAGTGTCTGTTTTATGGCATGAAATGTCAGTTAAGTGACATTTACAGGGGATTAGACCCATCTGGAAGTGTCTGTTTTATGGCATGAAATGTCAGTTAAGTGTCATTTACACGGGATTAGACCCATCTGGAAGTGTCTGTTTTATGGCATGAAATGTCAGCTAAGTGACATTTACAGGGGATTAGACCCATCTGGAAGTGTCTGTTTTATGGCATGAAATGTCAGTTAAGTGACATTTACAGGGGGATTAGACCCATCTGACATTTACAGGGGGATTAGACCCATCTGGAAGTGTCTGTTTTATGGCATGAAATGTCAGTTAAGTGACATTTACACGGGATTAGACCCATCTGGAAGTGTCTGTTTTATGGTATGAAATGTCAGTTAAGTGACATTTACAGGGGATTAGACCCATCTGGAAGTGTCTGTTTTATGGCATGAAATGTCAGTTAAGTGACATTTACAGGGGGATTAGACCCATCTTACATTTACAGGGGGATTAGACCCATCTGACATTTACAGGGGGATTAGACCCATCTGGAAGTGTCTGTTTTATGGCATAAGGGTTCATGACATTTGTTTAATGTTTATTGAACTAAAATATGTATGCCAGTTATAGTTTGTTTGAACAGAATAATAACTTGATGAAAGAATTATAACTGTTTACTTATATTGGCAAGAATTCTCTGTCCTGGCTCAAGTACCAGTATGTGAGTAACAGTTCCATCTTGTTTACATTAAACAGATAGAAGAAAGATAACTCTGTTAACTTATTTGGATTATGTTCATGTAAATCTCCCCAAACAAAGTAGGTAACTTTTCATTCACAAGTTTGTTGGGCTGGGCGACTTTACTGAAGGTTACGGGTGTGTATTGCTCTATTGTTTGTTTTCTGTGTTGTCTTGCATTTACGTTTTCTTCCCGAGAAAGAGAATGCCTGTGATTTAGGTTGCAGCACTACTAAGGGGTGGGGGTTGGGGGGGTGGGTGTTAAGGCCAGCTGCTCCATGTTTTTGGAGGGTTAAAAGCACTGGCGTGCTGAAATATACAACATGCGATATCAATAGCATCACGGAACAACCCCTTAACCTTGTGCCAAGGTGACAGTTTAAAGAACTACCAATCAAAAGTGACCTAGTGTGTATATGGGCAGGGCGTGTGGAGATTGTTACATGTACCCTTATTTGAATTACCTTTCTACCATGTGTCTAGTATCAGATATTGCAGATTAGCTGTAAACCACAACTTAATGTGCCAAGAAGAAGAAGAAGTACACAAAGAACAATAATTTTAGGAAAGAATTGTAACAACTTATTTTCATTGCCTCTCTCTCTCTTTCTCTCTCTTGGCTGTAGTACCAAGAAGCCAAAAAGATATATTTGATGGCCTGCAAGAAGAACCCATCTTGTGTCACCTGGCTAGGAGTTGGCACTGCATGCTACAGGGTAAGGATGTGATGTGTCTGCCTCTTGTACATTTGAAAACTCAGTGACAAATAGCAAGCTGGGTTGGACAAGACTGAAGGGATGAGGAAGATATAGCTTATTTCTTATTGTGGCTTGGCATGTTTTGAAGGGAAATAATTTTGAAAATGTTGTTACAGCTGGAAAACTTGAGGAAATGGGGGGGGGGGGGTATAGCTATGGGAAAACAATGATAAATACCCAGATGTTTTGGCCATATGATATAAGTGAGACAAGAAAACAAACATGACAGCATGGCTGGTAATTGTGTGCAATGACTAACTGTGACCTCCAGTGCTCATTGGCATGAAATGTGGTAATGATGATCTCTTGTACATTGCAATTTATTGAATTCTGACTGACAAGAGGTTGGTGCCTGTGGCTTGGGGGTTGCAAACACACTTCGCAATGCTGGGGTGCCGGGTTTGATCCCAGCTGCGAACAGTTTGTCTTACGTTGGTTTTGACAGTGGTACCAAGAGCTTACCTTTCAGAAATAAATGGCAAACTACTGAATGTTAAATTTGCCTAGAAAAACCACAACAGCCGAAAAGGCTGGGGTTGGTTCTGCAACATTCTGTAAAGGATACGCAACTAACTTTTAACTTTACTCGCAAGAGCCATATTGACACCTGTCAGCCCCAGTTAGGTTGTTGTGTATCCTTTACAGGATGTTGCAGAACAAACCCCAGCAGCCCCTGGCTGTTGTGTGGTTTTACTAGGCAAATTTATGTCCACTAGTTTGTCAGCCCCAGTAGACAAGGAAATATTCCATTAAAATGTCCATTTCGAGGCGTCGCAAGAGGTGTGTGGGAGGTGCAGGCAGCACTGGATGTCATCACTGAGGGTGGCACAACATATTTTAGCATTAAAAATGTGTATGAAGGTGTTTGTATGTGTGTATGTGGTGGGTAGGCGGAAAGGTGAGGGATTGGTGACATAAATGTTCTGCACCAGATACCCCCCCCCCCCCCCCCCCCCCCCCCCGGGAGTGACAGGAAATTTTCTGCACCAGATACCCCCTGGGAGTGACAGGAAATTGTCTGCACCAGATACCCCCTGGGAGTGACAGGAAATTGTCTGCACCAGATACCCCCTGGGAGTGACAGGAAATTGTCTGCACCCCCTCAACTCTACTGTATGAATTAATAGGGTTTTGGGGATGTGCTCCCTTTGGAACAGTGATCCTAGTAAGTGGGGTCTTTATGAACCAGACCAACCAACTATTCCAGAGGAAGTCAAATTTAGATGTTCATGTTCTTGTTTGCATATGTTTGTTGTCTGTTGTTATTAATATGGTTTCTTTGTTGTCTGTGGTTATTGTTAATATGGTTTGTTTGTGGTTATTGTTAATATGGTTTGTTTGTTGTCTGTGGTTATTGTTAATATGGTTTGTTTGTTGTTTGTGGTTATTGTTAATATGGTTTGTTTGTTGTTTGTGGTTATTGTTAATATGGTTTGTTTGTTGTTTGTGGTTATTGTTAATATGGTTTGTTTGTCGTCTGTGGTTATTGTTAATATAGTTTGTTTGTTGTTTGTGGTTATTGTTAAGATGGTTTGTTTGTTGTTTGTGGATATTGTTAATATGGTTTGTTTGTTGTTTGTGGTTATTGTTAATATAGTTTGTTTGTTGTCTGTGGTTATTGTTAATATGGTTTGTTTGTGGTTATTGTTAATATGGTTTGTTTGTTGTTTGTGGTTATTGTTAATATGGTTTGTTTGTGGTTATTGTTAATATGGTTTGTTTGTTGTTTGTGGTTATTGTTAATATAGTTTGTTTGTTGTCTGTGGTTTTTGTTAATATGGTTTGTTTGTTGTTTGTGGTTATTGTTAATATAGTTTGTTTGTTGTCTGTGGTTATTGTTAATATGGTTTGTTTGTGGTTATTGTTAATATGGTTTGTTTGTTGTTTGTGGTTATTGTTAATATAGTTTGTTTGTTGTCTGTGGTTTTTGTTAATATGGTTTGTTTGTTGTTTGTGGTTATTGTTAATATGGTTTGTTTGTTGTTTGTGGTTATTGTTAATATGGTTTGTTTGTTGTCTGTGGTTTTTGTTAATATGGTTTGTTTGTTGTTTGTGGTTATTGTTAATATAGTTTGTTTGTTGTCTGTGGTTTTTGTTAATATGGTTTGTTTGTTGTTTGTGGTTATTGTTAATATGGTTTGTTTGTTGTCTGTGGTTATTGTTAAGATGGTTTGTTTGTTGTTTGTGGTTATTGTTAATATGGTTTGTTTGTTGTTTGTGGTTATTGTTAATATAGTTTGTTTGTTGTCTGTGGTTTTTGTTAATATGGTTTGTTTGTTGTCTGTGGTTATTGTTAATATGGTTTGTTTGTTGTCTGTGGTTATTGTTAATATGGTTTGTTTGTTGTCTGTGGTTATTGTTAATATGGTTTGTTTGTTGTTTGTGGTTATTGTTAATATGGTTTGTTTGTTGTTTGTGGTTATTGTTAATATGGTTTGTTTGTTGTTTGTGGTTATTGTTAATATGGTTTGTTTGTTGTTTGTGGTTATTGTTAATATGGTTTTTGTTTTGTTGTTTGTGGTTATTGTTAATATGGTTTGTTTGTTGTTTGTGGTTATTGTTAATATGGTTTGTTTGTTGTTTGTGGTTATTGTTAATATGGTTTGTTTGTTGTCTGTGGTTTTTGTTAATATGGTTTGTTTGTTGTCTGTGGTTATTGTTAATATGGTTTGTTTGTTGTCTGTGGTTATTGTTAATATGGTTTGTTTGTTGTCTGTGGTTATTGTTAATATGGTTTGTTTGTTGTTTGTGGTTATTGTTAATATGGTTTGTTTGTTGTCTGTGGTTATTGTTAATATGGTGTGTGTGGCATCTGTGGTTATGGTTAATATTGTATATATATATATATATCCTACATTGCTGGATTTGTTTTCAGCTTGGTGAGTTATCAGAAGCAGAAGATGCCCTGTCTGAAGCGAACATGCTGAACAACCTGGATCCCGAAGTGTGGGCGTACCTATCTCTGGTGTGCCTGAAAACAAACAGGTGCCACCAAGCAGAGCAGGCCTACAAGTATGCTATCAAGGTGAGGGCATTATCCTCATGATGTTTAGATTGTCAAAATGTAATTTTGCTCCCTTGTAGATATGGATGACTTCTGCTTCTTCTTTTGTCCTTTCACTGATACCAGGTTGTAGCCCAGTGTTGTAGTTTTCTGTATTTGTCTTGTGCTTTTCAGGTGGCTTGGGTGATGGGTTTGTTCATCTTTTTGTAGGTTTCTGCTACACCTTTTATCCATGTCTTTCTTGGTCTTCCTCTTGCCTTCCAGATGTTCTGTTGTAAAAAGTCTCATATGCAGTTATGATGACTATGTGCGGGATATTACCTCTTTCATTATCCAGCTCTGTGCAGGGTAAGAAAAAAATTAGGGAAATCAAGAGATGAGGAAAAGACGCTGTTGCTGGATAGAATGCATACTAAGAAAATTTGATAATAGTATAACTAGAAAGTTCCTTCCTTGGAAAAGATTGGATGAAAGAAGTAGACAATGACTTGAAAACACTTGATTTGGTAATATGATTAGTATATGAGTTGGCAAATTATAATTGTCCACTCAGCTTGGCACATGTTGATGATGATAATTACCTGTTCCATTCTAGTAGGAAAACAGTACTCTCAAACTTAGCTTGCTTATGAGCTCTCTAAACAGTGAGTCCAGAATTGTAGGTTGAGACTAGAGCCAGCCTAGGACGCTGCACATGGAAGTGAAGAAAAAAGGTGTTAAGCAGTAGAAACTACTTACCTTGCATTCTCGGGGTTTCTGTGGCAAAGTGTTCAAGCCGTTTGCCTCACACTCAGAAGGTCGTGTCGGCTGTGTTCAGTTTAGGAGTGCAGTTTTTATGAAGATCCCTGGAGATCATCGATGGAGATACAGAGTTCTTGCTCCAAAAAAACAGTCTTTCTTACCAGTGAGAAGCAAGAATTCTTTCCATTGCTATGAGAAACAATAAAAAAGTTATAAAACTCATTTCATGATGGATAGATTCAAGGACAAGAGCCAGTGACATATTTCTTAGAAATTTTGAAGTTTATTTATTCTTCCTCTGTTAACTTTGACAGAAATTTTTAGATGCCCATTCTATTTTGAACTTTGTCTTGTTCCAGAAATTAAGTGTTATTTGCACATCCATTTTACAGATCTGGCTTATTTGTGTGCAGACCGTTGGTTCCTTGCCCCTCAGACAGATGCACTCTGACTTCAAAGAAAACACCCGTAATTAGGCAAATCCTATGACATGCTTGTTAGAGAGCAGTGGGTATATTTTTATTTTCCTCATTATGGCCATGGCCATTGAGTTAATCGTATGTGTCCATTCCTCCCCACCAAATACAGGGTTGACACATTCCGTTTCTGGGGACAGCTTTTATCGAGTTTGCTCTCTAGACAGTTGCAGTCCCCTGCTGACGAGATTCTGTCTTCCCGAGCTGACCGCCGCGATCAAAACATTGCGAAGGCAGCATGGTCGAGGCTGCCAAAACTATCGGTCATTATCCCGCGCCGACATAGCACAACCACAATACAAGCTGCTTCCGCGAAAAACACATAGTATCCTGTGTTAGGAATGTGCACAAAATAGCAGTTCGTGATTATGAAACAGAATAATCCGAGAGAATTGACAGCCAGTGAAAAAATAAACACAGCCGCTATCCGCCATTTGGAAAACGGAAGTCACCTCATTATGAGACCCCTGATCGCACATGAGTATTAAAGTACACCAATACATGAGAGACAAAAAGGTAAATAGATTCTACTGTTCACTTTTCACCTCTTTATCATTTTTTTTTTTTAACATTTATTTTCAGCTGAAGCTGGAGGAAGGGCCACTGTTGGCAGAGATTCATGGGGAGCAAGCAAGATACGGGTTCGGAAATCCATCTTTCTAGAGGTTATGTGGCTTGTCCTGATTATATCCTACAACACTTTATGTTTACCTTTTGTACAACTAACAGAAATGAACACCAGCTTGTACAATGCATTGGAAAAAGCACACAAAAGATCCTTATATCTCCCCCTAACACCTCGCTAAACTAAATGGTGGAAGAGAAGAAGAAGAAGAAGTACAACAAGATTAAACCTGGCTTTGCCTGTGTACAGATTCTGATTTTTTTTTATTTTTTTTTTATTTTTTTTTTTCAAACTCAGATTTAATGTTTATCAAATGTCTCTAGATTTGGCACCTGTGGCTTAGGCATTGCAAACACGGTTTGTAATTCTGAGATACCTTTTTGGATTCCAGATATGAGTGATCTGGCAGCAGACTGGCTTCTGCTGATTTTATAAAATGATAGCGAACTGACTGTTCAGAAGCAGTGGCAAACTACTGGTGTAAAATTGCCTAGTAAAACCACAATAAAATTGCCCAGTAAAGCCACAATAAAATTGCCCAGTAAATTCACAAGCGGCCACAGAACTAGTGGTGCCTTGTGTGATTAATTGCATGTGCAGTTACTGATTTGTTGTAATTGCTGCTAACAGACAGGGAACAAAGTGCCTGAATGTTTGTGCTAGGGCTTCTGAGGACTAACTTATGCATTTAATGCCTTTGTATGCTATGGGTTTATTTTTCTACAATGGATAATGGTGGACATTCTGTGTGGTTTTCATTGGCCCTAGAACGAAGCAACTATCTGGTACAAGAATGAAGCAACTATCTGGTACAAGAACAAAGCAACTATCTGGTACAAGAACGAAGCAACTATCTGGTACAAGAACGAAGCAACTATCTGGTACAAGAACGAAGCAACTATCTGGTACGAGAACGAAGCAACTATCTGGTACAAGAACAAAGCAACTATCTGGTACAAGAACGAAGCAACTATCTGGTACGAGAACGAAGCAACTATCTGGTACAAGAACGAAGCAACTATCTGGTACAAGAACGAAGCAACTATCTGGTACAAGAACGAAGCAACTATCTGGTACAAGAACGAAGCAACTATCTGGTACAAGAACGAAGCAACTATCTGGTACAAGAACGAAGCAACTATCTGTTTCTGTTCTCAGTTTGCTGTCAAAATGGAATTGTGATTATCTGATTGTAAAAGCAAAAGTTGGAGGGAAGTAAAGGCAAAAAGAGACCAAGAGAACAGATGCTGGATAGTTTGAGATCATGGCATGGAGGATCTTCTGTCTCAGAGTTAATTGAAAGTACATGAGGCAGAAGGTTGTGGATAGACATGACTACCAGCGCCACACTGTGGCATGGACTTTAACATTCATAGGTTCCTACCTAGAAGCCCAATGAACGCAAGATGCGCTGATTTTACATCTCTCTTGGCTACCCCTTTGGGCCTGTGATGCTAAACCCCCTGGGACTCAAAGAGTTAAAAAGAAGAACAAAAGTAAAGGACCCTTTTCCACAACTTGAGGCAATTTGGGCATATAGGGCTAGACCTTTATTTTATTAACCAATCGGCACTGGATTAGTGAGGTAGTCAACATCACGCTGAGATTACCTGATTGCCTGTGTTTTGTTCTATGGATATCTTCTCAGTATTTATGTCTTGTGGCATTGATAAACATATATGTCCGCTGCCTTCTGTCTTGTGTACTGCCAATCTCTTTTTCTTATAGAACTTCTTCCAGGCAACTATACCAAACTAACATCTCATTTTGTCTTTCCCGCCTCTGCCTGTTTCTCTTATGTCATAAAATATCCCAGTTTCTCACTTTGCATGACATACCAACAGAACATGGATTATAAGTACATTTGTTTAAGGTTTCTTTTCATGCAGTACACAATGATATGCAGTACCGTCATCTTTATTTTTAAAATGTTTAAGATATTATATTTTCAGCTCAACTGTAATGGGCACTTTGTGGTTGGTTCCAGCACCTTTGTTGCTAGAAAAATAAGCCCTGCCCAGGAAATTAGGTCTCTTATGGTTTTTTTAAAAGGGCACACATCAAGTTTTTCAGTCCAATGGCTGACATTCCATTTTATAGTTACTGATCTTTTGTGTCTGTCTAGGGGGCTGCGTGATCTTAAGGTCTCTGGGTAGTGAGATCAAACGCCCGTGTGCATTGTTGCGCGCGTTAAAAAAAATACCTTGGCAGTCGGAAATCGAAAAGAGTAGGCTTACAGTGCGGCCCGTGCAAAATTTTGAGTTAAAAATTTACCCGAAGTATTTCAGGATCCTTGCTGGTGCTACAGAGCTTGTGCACTGTGCTGAGCATCTTCAGACTCAAGACTTAAGTTAAAAAAAAAACGGAGCACTTATGGGGTACTGCCGGTTTGCCACGATGTTGATTCGTTGGTTTAAACCTCAAACCTGTGTCTGTCTTTACAATCCAAGTTTGTCTGCATTGATACATCTGTATTTGCCTTTTTTTAACATTTTCCTCTGCTTTTTCATTTGTTTTCCAATAATTTTGCATTCTAGTACTCAAGAGCTTTTTCATATCTTCGACTGTGACAAAACAATTGGTTTTGAATTACTGTAAGAATTCTGCTTTATTCTTTAATATTTTCCATATTTTAATGATCAAGTTTTCAGTCCAGCCAGTAGTTATTGTTGGTAGAACCACATTCTGAATGCCACCATATGCTTGTCGTAATCTTTATGTAGTGCAGCTGGCCAGACACCCATGTTAAAGATCTTCTTGTTCTGTCTTCCTGTGTGTTCATGCTTAAAGTAGTGGTTGGCACACTGTGTTGTAGCTTATAACTAGGCTGTGATATCTGCACCTTTTGGCAAACACATCTGATTTCAGTACTTACTTTACTTTACTTTTACTTTTTCCTTCCACGTATGCCGCTAAGCGTTGTGGGGAGATGCAAGTTCCTGTTGTAAGCAAGGCGGGCAGCATCTGATGTTCTGAGGCCATGCTTTTGGCAGGTTTCGGAGACCCCGTCAATCCACCGTTTCCTTGGTCTTCCTCTTGCCTTATATCCTGAGCTTCTTTGGTTGAAAATTTGTGATGTTATTTGATCATTTTTCATCCTGGTTAGATGTCCAAACCATTTCATTCTTTGATGTTCTATGTAGTCTAAACATGGTGTAGTTTTGACAGTGTTTCTAATGTCTATATTCTTTATCCTGTCTAGTCTGGTCTTGTTCGCTGCTTTTCTTAGACATTTCCTTTCACAGGCTTCTATTTTTCTTTCGTGGGTCTTGTTGATTGTCCATGTCTGGCACTGGTAGCAGAGTGTTGGAATGAAGATGGTGTTTATCAATTGTCTTTTGGTCTTCATGGTTATATCTGGATGTTTAAGCAGAGGTGATAGTTGGTATGTGACAGCATTTGCTTTCTGTATTCTTGTTTCTATCTCTCTGTCCATTCTTCCATCCTCTGTAAATATACTGCCCAAGTATTTGAACTCTTTGGTTTGCTTGATTTTGGCACTTCCAACATTTATATTCAGTGGCCTGTGTGTTCTGCTGATCTTCATAACTTCTGTTTTTTCCGTACTGATTCTCATATTATGTTGTAAACAGCTGTTGTTGAGAGTAGTCAGATGTTCCTGTAGATCATATTCATTTTGATACAGTATGCTTTGATCATTAGCAAAAAGTAATTCGTTTATAGCATACACATCTGGGTTTGCTTCTACAGTGATCTTATCCATGTATGTTATGAAAAGTAATGGTGACAGTACACATCCTTGTCTGACACCAGTTGTGACTTTGAACCATTCAGAAAGACCACTAGATGTTCTTACTGCACTTTCACTTTTTTCGTAGAGGGCTCTGATGTTGTCTAATAATTGACCCTGCACTCCGTAATCGTCAAGAATTCTCCACAGCACATCTCTGTCTACACGGTCGAATGCCTTCTCTTGATCTACAAAGACCACGTTCAGCTCTTTATCGTATTCGAGTGTCTTTTCACAGACTTGTCTCAGTGCAAATATGGCATCAGTGCAACCTCGCCCTTTCCTGAAACCGAATTGTGCTTTACTCAGTAGAGGTTCAACCTTTGCTCTTATCCTACCTTCTAAGATCTTTGCATACATTTTCCCCACATGACTTAGTAAAGATATTCCTCTATAAGTTCCACATTCTCTCTTGTTTCCTTTTTTCTTTCAGATAGGTACTACAACTGATCTTTGCCAATCCACTGGTACCTTTCTCTCTGCCCATGCTCTATTGAAAATTCTCTCCAGCCAGGTGATCATAGTGTCCCCTCCAGCCTGGATGACTTCTGTTGTTATTCCGTCGATACCAGCTGCTTTGTGTCTTTTACTTGTTTTGATAACTTTCTCTACTTCATCCCGCAGGATGTGTGGTTTCAGTACACCTCTAATTAATTCCAGTTTATCACATGCCTGTTAGGGGGGCAGGGGTTCTATGCATTCCCCCTCCTCCTCTCCCGCTCAAAAAGGGGAGCTGGAACATGGGAAGTTACCGATAATTTCTTTCCTTCAAGTTTTCTTCAAGTCCGGATTTATACGTTTTTCTAAAATTAATGTGTACATCTTTTTGCTATAGAAGAGAATATACAAAATGTATAATTTGTCCCCTTTATTTTTAATAATATTTTTACATTTCCCATCAAAAATCCTTTCAGTGCTTGACTGGAATGTAGTTTTATTAAACAGAAACTTGCGAAAATGTTTCTAAATGTTGTTATAAATCTCAATTATATTTTATCACTGCTGATTGCATGCTGAATTGTTAATGTTTATATCGGAATGTTGTATAAACTTGTGATATTTGTTCATGAAGATGAATCCATTAAATTATGTTAATATATTCACTGTTGATTAGAAACATTAAACATATACATCTTTTTTATTTGTCTGATATTTTTTTTATTTGGATGTGAATGATGGAAAGAGAGACATTGGAGAGCATCGAGACAACTGGAAAAGTCAGTGGAAAAGGGGTAGAAGCAGACCAAGAGAGATGATGCTGGATGGGCTGAAACGATGACATGGAGG